ATGATTGTAATGATTGTAATGATTATACTGATTGTAATAATTGTAATGATTGTACTGATTGTAATGATTGTAATGATTGTAATGATTGTAATGATTGTAATGATTGTAATGATTGAACTGATTGTAATGATTGTAATGATTGTAATGATTATACTGATTGTAATGATTGTACTGATTATACTGATTGTAATGATTGTAATGATTGTAATGATTGTAATGATTGTACTGATTGTAATGATTGTAATGATTATACTGATTGTAATGATTGTACTGATTGTAATGATTGTAATGATTGTAATGATTGAACTGATTGTAATGATTGTACTGATTGTAATGATTGTAATGATTGTAATGATTATACTGATTGTAATAATTGTAATGATTGTACTGATTGTAATGATTGTAATGATTGTAATGATTGTAATGATTGTAATGATTGTAATGATTGTAATGATTGTGATGATTGAACTGATTGTAATAATTGTAATGATTGTACTGATTGTAATGATTGTAATGATTGTAATGATTGTACTGATTGTACTGATTGTAATGATTGTACTGATTGTAATGATTGTAATGATTGTACTGATTGTAATGATTGTAATGATTGTAATGATTGTACTGATTGTAATGATTGTAATGATTGTACTGATTGTAATGATTGTACTGATTGTAATGATTGTAATGATTGTACTGATTGTACTGATTGTAATGATTGTACTGATTGTAATGATTGTAATGATTGTACTGATTGTAATGATTGTACTGATTGTAATGATTGTACTGATTGTAATGATTGTACTGATTGTAATGATTGTACTGATTGTAATGATTGTAATGATTGTACTGATTGTAATGATTGTACTGATTGTAATGATTGTAATGATTGTAATGATTGTACTGATTGTACTGATTGTACTGATTGTAATGATTGTAATGATTGTACTGATTATACTGATTGTAATGATTGTAATGATTGTAATGATTGTAATGATTGTAATGATTGTAATGATTATACTGATTGTAATGATTGTACTGATTATACTGATTGTAATGATTGTAATGATTGTAATGATTGTAATGATTGTACTGATTGTAATGATTGTAATGATTATACTGATTGTAATGATTGTACTGATTGTAATGATTGTAATGATTGTAATGATTGTACTGATTGTAATGATTGTAATGATTGTAATGATTGTAATGATTGTAATTATTGTAATTATTGTAATGATTGTAATTATTGTAATTATTGTAATGATTGTAATGATTGTAATGATTATACTGATTGTAATAATTGTAATGATTGTACTGATTGTAATGATTGTAATGATTGTAATGATTGTAATGATTGTAATGATTGTAATGATTGAACTGATTGTAATGATTGTAATGATTGTAATGATTATACTGATTGTAATGATTGTACTGATTATACTGATTGTAATGATTGTAATGATTGTAATGATTGTAATGATTGTACTGATTGTAATGATTGTAATGATTATACTGATTGTAATGATTGTACTGATTGTAATGATTGTAATGATTGTAATGATTGAACTGATTGTAATGATTGTACTGATTGTAATGATTGTAATGATTGTAATGATTATACTGATTGTAATAATTGTAATGATTGTACTGATTGTAATGATTGTAATGATTGTAATGATTGTAATGATTGTAATGATTGTAATGATTGTAATGATTATACTGATTGTACTGATTGTAATTATTGTAATGATTGTACTGATTGTAATGATTGTACTGATTGTACTGATTATACTGATTGTAATGATTGTAATTATTGTAATGATTGTAATGATTGTAATGATTGTACTGATTGTAATTATTGTAATGATTATAATGATTGTAATGATTGTAATGATTGTAATGATTATATCTCTTACCTTACTCTCAGCAGTCAGGAAAGTGATTATGCACAGTTTGCACACGGTGCAAGCCCATTACTTATTTCCACCATCCGTCATAATTGAACAGTAGAATCGCTTGCTATCTGCACAGAACTGGCTCATGAATATAATCAGTCATCATAATAATATGTGCTTATCATTAATTATTGTTCTATTGTTACAGTTAGCCAATATGAGCATAATTTACCAAATATGAGCATAGTTTAGTATTGTTACAAATGAACTCTAAGCTATAAAGTAGCCTACTATTTCTCTTATAAATGGTTGTTAGTGTTACTATTAGAGTATGAGGTGAGTGAATGTGAAAATTATTATTCAAATTCGACTTTCCGCGTATTTTGTTACCTTTATCGATGTAATACTGGAGCTGCTTGATATTTGCGCTGGTTTCATGGAAATATGGACTAAACGGAATAGCTAGATTTCAGTAATCTTCAGATATAAAACCATAAGGGTTGTCGATAATTGTTAAAATCTCATATTCAGATCCACGAATTTTGAAGAGTTTGGCTACAATTTCAAGAAGGAACTGTAAAATAGCTTAGCGTAGCGACTAGCGCTGTTAGTGACTTACATAGCCTTATTAAAGATTGTATGATCAGATGCAGCATGACCCACTGTGATACCCCAACCATATTCTTAAATACTCGTAAATACTTTCAAAATTTCAAAATACATGTTATTTGACGCAGAATCTAGTACTAAATACTCGATTCTGCGTCAAATAACATGTTGTATTTCGAAATTTTGAGAGTACTTACAACAGATGGCTAATGTTCCAAAATACAAGGCGGCTGCCGGCTATCTTAATAGGTGGAGTTATTGCAGCTGTGGAGTTTGGGAGTAATCGAACCGTGAAAGCGTAAAATCGTTAAATATTGCAACAACTATAAAATTGTTTTTGAACTGTTTTTAACTAAATGTTGAGTTTTGAAGATGTATGAATGGTGAAAAATGATTAATGTCTACTCAGTGTGTTATGTGCAATTAGTATTTCTTTGAAGTATCTGGAAGACAAAGCACTATTAGATTAACAACGCTTCTTTTCACTTTTTGACCCTGCGATGTGAGGAATATTTTGAAGTAAATATAAGTCGAATGAAATTTCTCCTGTTTGTTTCGAGCCAGAAACTTGCTATTTTTTTGCTGAAACATTTTAAAGTTTCAACATTTTCCTCACGTGGTTGAAAGGAAATTATCGCTTAGTGCCACTATATAAAATAAACAGCATCTGTTTAATTTTTTCGTCACGGTGATGACAATTTTTGATTTTATCGAATAAAATAAAACGTGACTGTTGTCATTGAGCAAGAGATGTGTCCTAATTTTTCTCTGAAACATTTAAAACTTGGCCGACACAAAGTACTCAAGACTGCGCAGGTGTTTCCGTTAAACTCTGAATTATCGTCCACCATGTGAGGCTTACTGGCCGAGAACTCGAGCAAGCTTGTCATTCCCTAGCCTTATTCCCAATTCCCAAATGAGATGCCATCTGTTTTTTAAACGAGACTAGTAAATATGCTGATATATTTGCGTATCTACATATTTACCACAGTAGTTAAAACCAGGCGTTGAGGCTTATTTGTTCAGGATCGCTAGACTTACGACAGCTGAATCTGTGATAATATTTCGCTCTCCTATAATTCACAAAATAAAGCATTTTTGAGGGTTTGAGGGTTTGATACTGGCACTTATATGGTCAAGGACCCCATACACTAATTATCAGTGTTTGTCCGTAAGTTTTAGAAGACAGGACAGTGGAGACAGATGTGTTAAAATAGCTAGAGGGGCGGGTAGAGAAACTTGTTATAATTGTACTGATTCTCACAGCTTTTAAGTGTCATAATTGAGGAGTTAAGTTGGTAATGGTGAAGCTTCCGGACAGTAAAGTGCGATTGACAAACTTGAATTCGTTGTTTTAGTCACTTTGGGAACGAGCCGAGCTGCGGAGGAGCATTTCGTTTAACTTTGAAAGTGACGTCATGATTATCTACTAATCATCTCCTAATGTCAACTTACCTAGCTGCTTTCTCACTCTGTTGTGATCACTTGTAATTTGGCGGGCTTTCATTTGTTACTCCGCAATTCTTATATCTCGTCTCACTAAGTATCTAATACCAGGGTAAGGAGTCAAGGACCCCAATATGCTAATATACAAAAGTCGCCCCTTGTGTATGCAAGAAATGAAGGTGACGTAGGGTATATTGCGTATTGCTGGGGTGCATATGATTAATGAACCCCCATACCGTGTTCGTCAACTCCTCCTCCCACATACAACATTCTACACTAAACCAATTCCATTTACCTAAAAAGATCATTTTCCCTATGTCGCATTCACGGAATCATCATAAATTTTCATCAGATTCCTCCTCCGACACTAAACCCTCTCGCGCGTCGTACTCTCGTATACTAGACCTCTGATTTTAAAAAGCCTCGACTCCCCTGTTCTTCTTTATACTTTTACCACACTAATGACACACCCCACCCAGACTAACCCTAGCAATTAACCGCGATACCTCGCCTCATTGTTAAATCCAGTTCCCCTCACTTTCAGTGTCGGGGTTGAACCAGGTGGGTATTTTTCCGCGTACTTTCAGTGGCGAGCATGAGTTGTCACGGTGTGCTAAGTATCAGGGTTGCTAGAGCACCCCCCGTGCTCTGTCCTTACTTCTTAAGGACAGAGCACGTAGAGTTTAGTGATGATTATGTCCGAGTATTGGAAGATATGACACCATCAGATTGCCAGACTAAACAGGACAGCGTCAGGTTGTCAGACTAGTGACTGCTTTAGTTTTTAGAATTAGTCTGAAAATATCTTGTGGGATCCACTTGAATTAGTGGTGAGGTCTGCTACCTCTCTGACATGACATATTTGACCTTTTCCTATCGACGTTCAGATTTCAGAATGAATAAATATGCCAGACTGAATGCATGCAGTTCTTGATCTTTTTTCTCATTTCTAGCCGGTCAATGCTCGAGAGTGGTAAATCACTTTGCACTAGGAATTATTCTATTATGGAACTGTTATTTACCCGAAAAGATCATTTTCCCTTTGTTCTTTTGTTGCAAGCACGAAATCATCAGAAACTCTTCGTACTTGGTGATCACTTTCGTACTTTTCCGCGGAGATGTTTAGTGAGATTATAAAATAACGAATATTGTCCGTTTAGTGATAATTTGTAAACGTTGCAGCTGTTTGTGTTGATGGCTAGCTTCTGACTACCATATTATCATCAACGATCTTAACTGAAGACGATTTACACATGTATTTTGAAAGCTCCTGCTTAACAAACTTTTCGTATATGCTTTAAATAATCTCCTTATCAGGCTGAGGTTATTAATCTGAAACAGTTGTGTCAGACATGATGACTTATTATCAAAACTATCACTGTTTAGTTTAAATAAGAAGTCATGACAAGGGTAAGTTACACTTTGTAACTGATTATAATTATATTATATTCTCTTGTGCTGTTCACATCCGAAATTGATTCACGCTCTTCGTCTCAGTTGTATGAACTTAATAATTATGGCATTCTCTTACAGTCTTACTTGGTTGAGAGGCTTAATTTTCTACTTCTGTTTATTGTTGCTCATATATATAAATGCGTTTATAATGTGATAGTATGGCACATCCCTATAGTTTGATGGTATACCCCAGATATTGTCTCCAATGATACCATTATTGGTTATAAATGATAAAATTGTATTTAGATTAATGAAACTGTTGTCGTATTTAATATTAACCATCAATCACCCTATTAGAAATGGTTTGCACAAAAGAAGAGAAAGGTGATGGATGTATCAGCTACCCCACTGATATTTTCCTTGGAGTTTTGGTGTCACTTTGTTGCTTGGTTGGGTAAGCAGCCTTTTGGCCTTTTTACATTTCCCCTCCGTGAATAGAGAACACTTTATTTGGTTTCAATATTCCTTATACGGCGATATTAAACGCACTCCACGAACTTTCAAAAGGTGCCGGACTCCACAATAGCAATCGCCGAACTTTTACCGAACGTAATAACCGCATTTCAATTTTCACAGCACTTTAAAAACAACCAAACCTCCACAGTTCGCTTGAAAATGGCTTTGTGCTAAAGATCCTCGGCAAGAAAGTGTTCAACGGACGGGAAGCTAAGACAAGATCCAAATGTACCAACACCACCTATCTGCTGCTTTGTAACCTGGCTATAGCGGATCTGGGTAACCTGCTTATTCCTACCCCTTTTAATGCTTTCACACTACTCTACGGAAGATACGCCTTCTCAAAGGTACGAAGATTAACTTATCGAATTATCAACTAACTACTAAAACTTATTTTGCTTATACTGACATTTGCTTAGTTTTCATGAATTTTTCCATGCTCTTGATGATCTAAAAAAAAGAATATATAAATAATTGAGATTATAATTTAGATACTAAAAGCAAAAATAATACTTTTAGAAAGCAGAGACGTTGAAGGAGTCTGTATGGTATGACTTCCTGATAAACCTGGTGGGATGGTGCTCCAATCTGTTCGTTATGGTCTCCATGTTGCTGGTCTGTGTTATAGCGGTTAGGAGGGCTGTGGCGCTGTACCTCCCCTTCAAATACAACACTTACTTCAAGTGAGTTCCTCAAGTTTAACCAAATATGTTATTTAAATAATCATTAAAAGATTTCTATCTAATCGGTCAGAACCAAATATCATTGATCATGGCCTACAGTGACATTTTGATATTCACTTATTTGTTTCAGGGAAAGATTAGATTTTGTATTTAACTATCCCTTGTTATGTTTAGAACTTTTATTCAATAATAACTCCAAAATAACCACCCATTCCCCACCAGACCCCTGAACATCTACATTCTCACTGTAGTAAGCTGGGCCATTGCTATAGCCTTTGCTTGCCTCCCTTTCTATGTCAAGAGCACACATTCGTGAGTATTCATTCCTTGTAGCTAGCTGAACATTCCTTGCAGTTACTCAGTTGGCTGTACGTTATTTTATTGAAATAAGTCAGCTTTCTCGCGTACGATTAGAGTTAGCGAATATGTTTATGGCGTCTCTAATATTTTGATAATGTTTTGTTCGTGATTATATTTATATGTCGGAGAAGGGTGGAGAAGAATTAGGTCTCGTTGACATATCTTCTTTTATTAAGTACTTTTTAATTGATTGTTTTCGCCTAATACTGGTACTGGCTTGTAGTTGTCGACATATTATAATGTTAATCCAAGGCTAAAGTAGTTAATTCTGCCCCTCCTAGTACTAATTTCTTCAATAATCAATACCAGCAGTAATTTATCTGCTTTTATAATCGTTCTGTTCTACTAGGTACATTCCTGAGTATGGAAACAGCATCGCTCACTTGGGAAAGTATGGTCTTCTCGCCGGTTAGTAATAGTAGTTAATACGTAGGATGTTGTTTTGTAATTGGAACTAAGTCTAAGAAGAATTTTCAAACAAAATTATTCATATCTTAGAAATACCAGGAATATAATAGTGCTTAGTGATTTTATCTAAACTACATACTATTTAGCATTTTCCTCTCTGATCCACTACTCAATATCCGATTAGAAACAAATCTTTGTGTTTGGTAATAGTCTTATATCACTCCCCTAGGTAAAGGACTAGGATACTACGTTACGTTTCTCCTAATAGTGACAGTGATAGCTGTTACCATCCCGGCTCTAATAATCGGCATCGCCTCCTTCCTCGTAGTCCTCAGACTTTACACTAGAAAGAATATTCAGTACAAGGTATGTGTTACTTACCACAAAAATGTTTTTTATTTGTTAAATTGGGATTCTTTCTTGTTATATTTCCGAGAGACCATGTTGGCTTGCGTCTAATCAAATCACACGTTTATCCAAAAATCTCAACCTTAAAAAAACCCATATTACAGGTTGTAAAGAAGAAACAAAAGCAATCAGAAGAAAACGCCGCCCGAACAGTCACAATAATCCCCATAATATTCTTCTTCTGCCACCTGCCCGTCGTCTACCGGATCACCACCTCCTTCATCGGGGCCATGTACCAAGTCTCCAACTCAACCCCCCCTAACTTCTTCTACCACAGCATGTCCGCCAAACACTACATAAACATGATGTTCCATTTTGTGCTGCTCACGGTGAACTCGTGTGCGAACCCCCTGGTTTATCTGATGGGGTCTAAGAAACTGTGCAGCACTGCAGTCCAGTATATTGAGCACTGTTGTAGCATGTTGAGCAGACCATTTAGCGGGAAGGGCAATGAGGAGCACATTTGTTTGGATAAGACTCCCTGCCTTGATAAGTCTACTAAACAAACTTTCGCTGCTTGAGTGGTTTTTTTTTTTTCAGAATCGATTTTTTCTCCTTGTTTTGATTCAGCTGATTATTTTGTTGAATGTTGCAGGTGTGAAGGCCGCCTTTACTGCAGAAGGCGGTTTGGTAATGAGTAATATGCTGGAGGGGCAAATTCGGGGCACACTTGGGGGAAACGACAGCTGTAAAATATTTCCCCAGGTTTCAGGATGAGCTTCAGTTGTGTATCATCCGAGTTTGCCCCAGATTTTCACTATGTAGTATCTCCAATTTGCTCTGAGACTAAACAAGACATCCCCATTATGAAGCACACTATATTGGCATTGCTAAGTGAAGTCGAGCGTGCTAAATCACTCTACACTCGATCTTCGAGATTTTTCTAAGATTTTTCTCGTAAGGGTTAGGGTTTCAGCATATGCTTTTGTTTGGGATTGGGTTAGGGTAAGGGTTGGGCTCATATTATAGGGTTCCGGTTAGGGTTTGGAACAGTCATTCAGGGCCACCTAGAACACGGGTTAGAAAAGTCACAAGACAGTCAAGTGTAGAGTGATTAATCATCATCCAAGTGAAGTAGTATAGATGATGTAAATGTAATGACACTAATTATTTTACATTTTTCACACCGCACATGAAAGAAACCAAACTGCTTATTTCTGCAGTAGTACGCTATTTTATGGTTATTCGTGAGACGTTCTTATTTCACATTTAACAACATTTATGGCTTAATTAATTAAATTTGTGCTGTACTAGTAAATGAGAAATATTACTGCATCTTATTACTGCATCTCCCACTTAATTAATTTCTAAAGAGGAATCCCCATAATGAAGCACATCCTGCAAATCTGATAAAAGGCAGTAAGTCCGCAATTCCCTCAGAAAAGGATGTAAGTCCAAATCCAATGTGGATGGGAAAATAGTTTAGGTATTCTGGAGAAAAATGGTTTTTATAGATCAGTGTTGGTGAATTTATGCTTTAAAGTATGTTTAGGACATATATGTCAATAATTTATTTACGCATAAATGTCAAAATTAACCCCGTTTATGCGAGTAAACTTACCTATAAAACGACGAACCTGTTTGTTCCATTTTCTCAAAATGACATCGACGTGACTTACAGCCTTTTCTCAGGGAACGGCAGTATATAAGATTTAAAAACACGAACATCGCGAATGGGTTATAGTTTTACAATGTCTGACGAAGTATTGATATGATAATTAACTCAAACTGTTATTGACAAGTGAAAGTTATTCAGATTAATTTAGAAGTTGATTAATTCTTAAATTGTAAAAATAAGATTATAGTTATACCATCTCTAAATCTATATGGAGAACTTTTTGCAAGGGTCGACCGAGTCCTCGGCCTCGGCCTCGATTTTACCGAGGAACAGCGATTTTTCTTCGGCCTCGGTCAGGAGGACAATTCCTCGGTTTGCCTTGGCCTCGGTTAAAATTAAATTATTATTCCTCGACCTCGGCGAAATTTTGAAGATGTTAAGGGTCGACCGAGTCCTCGGCCTCGGTTTTACCGAGGAGTAGCGATTTTTCCTCGGCCTCGGTCAGGAGGATAATTCCTCGGTTTGCCTCGGCCTCGGTTTTATCAAAGCAAAATTTCCTCGGCCTCGGTCGACCCTTGACTTTTTGTGATTTTGATCTCAATACGATAACTGTCTGATTGTATGTTACAAACCTCGATATTAAAATGATATCAATAGACCAACAAAATTTTGTTTACGTTTCAAAGCTTGCTGTCAACTGCATACGCAGTCACATGACTAGTTGACTGTGTGTTCTTTTAGAGTTATAGAGACCTGGGAAGCGCGTGAGCGTATTATACGAGCCTGGGCAGAGAATTCTATAATTATTAATAACCTGCACTGATCTGGAATCATCTGCTCAGACTCACGGTTGAACGTATAACTGACATGTTGACTTAAATTGACTACATTATGAGGGTGTCCCTAGAGGGTAGGGACTTTGGGTTTACTCTACACCCTAGAAGAAGCCGACGCTATCCGGCTGTCAAGGTCACTGATGCGGACTTTGCTGACGACCTTGCTCTTATAACAGATAGTGTTGCGGAGGCACAAGATTTCCTCAGGAGTCTGGAACTGGCGGCCAACTCAGTTGGACTCCACCTCAACGAGGAGAAAACTAAGTACATGGTAATCAACATAAGAGATAATGATAACCCGACTCTGGTTGCTGGGAGTGGGAAGAACATTGAGAAAGTCGATGACTTTGTATATTTAGGTAGTAGAATGAAGAGTTCGGAGAAGGACTTCGAAGTGAGGAAAGCTAAGGCATGGGGAGCGTGTCACCAGATGAAGCTTGTATGGAAGTCGGATATACGTATAGATCTCAAGATACGACTGTTCCTGGCTACAGTCGAGTCATCCTTCTATATGGCTCTGAAACATGGACTGTCAGCCAGACCCTCGCAAAACGTATTGATGGATGTTATACGAGAATGCTGAGGATGGCACTTAACATTGACTGGAAAGAGCGGCAGACTAACGCCAAGGTGTATGGACACCTCATCAGAGCATCTGATAAGATAGCTGCACAGAGGATGAGACTTGCAGGTCATTTAGCCAGACATGAAGAACTTCTGAGTCATCAACTTCTCTTCTGGGAACCCCTTCAAGGACATCGTCGAAGGGGAAGACCACACCTCACATATATTGACATCCTTCGGAAGGACACGGGGCTTGACGACAGCAAGGAGATTAACAAACTCATGCTAGATAGAAAGATTTGGGAAAAAACTATCTCTTTTCGGACGTTTAGGCCGCCCTAAGTCGAAGTAAGTCGAGAGTGACTTCAATTAAGAAATTACTATTTGTAAGTCCCTGCTTGTTGGCTATGATTTTTGAATCATTGCTTACTTGAGTAATAACCGTCAGTAAACTGGGTGTTTCATCACAGCCCTCGGAATAACCACTAATTGTTAGTTAAGATAAGTGAGCTCAGTTAGTTCCCAGGTCATTTAAAGATTGGCTGCTTGTTCATCTGCACGTTGTTCCATGATGGGACTACAATCTCTGGTCATGGTTAACAATAGGATGCTGGTACAATTGTTGGTAATGCTGTAATGGTATGAATAAAACTTGTACATTGCTAAATTGATCTGTTTTCCTAACTGTTAGCCACCAAAAAGATATAAATAACTGATGATTAAAAGTCTCCGTGGGGCGAACAATTGACTACTCTGAACGAGTGTCAACACGTGATCTCCAGCACGTGATCTCCAGCACGTGATCTACAACACGTGATCTACAACACGTGATCTACAACACGTGATCTCCAACACGTGATCTCCAACACGTGATCTACAACACGTGATCTACAACACGTGATCTACAACACGTGATCTCCAACACGTGATCTCCAACACGTGATCTACAACACGTGATCTATTAGATGGTTTCAAAAGTTGTTCATATACACTTCTCAACCCCTCCTCCTACTTTTAAGTCTCCCTCTCAACCAGTGGCGCAACGAAGGGCCCCGCTGTGCATTCGTTTGAATGTGGGACAATTTTGAAAAACTCAACTGAGGTACTAGCAAAACTGCGTTACGTCTCCCTCTCTGTCAACCCTTTTAATCCTCTAACTGAAACTCGACATCCCTCTCAATATAATCCTCTCTTTTTCTTTAACCTTCGCTCCTCTTCTCAACCCCTCATTCTCCCTGCATCTCAAGTTATCAACATCATAGAAAGTTATAGATGTGGGTTGTGGTTGGGAGTTGATTTTGGCGATAGAGAGTGTACTGAAGAATAATCACACTCTGTACAGTCACACTCTAGCAGCTCTAATATTTCACCCTGTAGAACTCCACCAACAAAGGTGACCCAGAAACATTGCTTTTTGAGAATGAGAACTTAGGCATAAATACGCGGTGACATTGAAAATTTGACATTGAGGCATTTGGAGTTAGGAGTGGGACTCGTTCAGAGCTCGAAAACTTGTTTTAATGAATTATATTAACAAATTGATAGGTTTCGTTACAGTTCATTGATGTTAATGACATTATTATTACATCATTGAATTGTAAATTTCTTAGATAGACTTAAAAGGAAAGCACTGTGTATTAAGAACTTTTCATTCTTTGTGGCTTAGAGAACAAACGAACAAGAAGTATTTGTGTTTCAGTTACAGCATAAGAATAAAGAGTTGGCTGAGTTTGTGGTACACGGATAGAATCTTCCACATGATAGCCTCTCCAGCTCCTCGGTCTAACAGCTCATTCGATGGTAATTAATAATTTATAAACACATTTTCTCAGATATGCTACTTCATAATAATAGTTATTTTATTATTATTATTATCTTGACAGTTGCTGTTGTAACTTAATATTTGAAATTTGTATTCCTTGTATTCCTTGTATTCCTTGTATTCCTTGTATTCCTTGTATTCCTTGTATTCCTTGTATTCCTTGTATTCCTTGTATTCCTTGTATTCCTTGTATTCCTTGTATTCCTTGTATTCCTTGTATTCCTTGTATTCTTAATAATTAGTAAATTATATTTCTCCTTAATGACGATAAAATAACCAGGGCTACCGTTTTATTTTCGGAGTGGCTTCCTTGCTCTGCAGACGGCTGTTGACTCCCGGGTATCAGGACGTTCCTTCTCAGAAGATGTCACGATGCAGAAATTTCCTCATGCTCCGTAAGTTTACTATGATAATTTGTTTGATCGCTTACATCAGTTTTTGAACAAAGTAACAGTAAACTATTTAAGTTATTAAATTAATAATCAATCCCATATAAAAACATACAAAATACAAAAATATTCAAGCTTTCTTCTTGGTGACGAACCACTGGAACACAGTAGACTCCTTGATCCCAACCATCTTGGCAACCTGTCTCCGGGACCCAGATCCACAGTGTTTGCTCCTCAGGAAGTATTGATTTAGCTCCTCCTCCTGCTCTGAAGAAATCCCCCGTGTTCTCCGTCTAATCCGCTCTGATCTTCTGGGTCGAGTAGGTGACTGCAGTGATAGAGAAGAAAAGGCCAGGAGAGAGGGGGAGGTCGGTGAGGTGAAGACCTGGTCCGAGGGGGATGATGGTTTAGGTCGATGGGGACCAGAGAGTTTATGTGGTATGGTAGGAGTGGTAGGGGTTTTAGGTTCAGATCCGTTGGGTTGAAGGTGGGGTCCAGAAAGACGAGGTGGAGGTGTGGTTGGTTGTGGAGGAGAAGTAGGATCAGTTAGAGTCAGTTCCTTCATCTCGATGTCGAGGGTGACTGGTATAGGGCAGGGTCTCCGGGGTGTTCCATTGAATGCACTCTTCATGATGGTGAAGGAGATTTCAGGGTCTGATTCGTCTTCAGGGTCTGATTCGTTTTCAAGGTCTGATTCGCCTTCAGGGTCTTCAGGGTCTGATTCGTCTTCATGGTCTGATTCGTCTTCATGGTCTGATTCGTCTTCATGGTCTGATTCGTCTTCAGGATCTGTTTCGTCTTCAGGATCCATCATAATCTCATCGTGAGGAGTGGAAAAAATGTCCAATATAGACTTGACAGGAGTGACATCATAGTATATCATCTCCGGTTGTGAAGGTCTCGGTGGAGTCCTGTAACTGGAGTCTGGAGAAAGGGTAAGGTGAGTGAAGAAAGGTTCGTCAGGATCAGGATGGCTTGCCCCAACCGAGAAGATGTTAGCGTGGATCATTCGAGTCTCGTAGTGATGGGATGGGGGAGGGTGAAGGAGGGAAGACTTGTCGGTGGTAACGGAGTAGCCAGGTTTTCTGTAAACGGAATTCATGTTCGTGTCAAGGTGTGAACTGTAAACTGAAGTTGAAACGATTGATGACTAATGCATTGTGGTTGGTTATTTATACATATGGGAAGATAACGAGCTTGTTAATGCCAGTTGTGGGTATGTACAGATCTGGTCATGCTAGATTTACTAGATGATGTGAGCTACTTGTCAAGCTCAGGATGTGATCTGATGTAGTAGGTGAGCTGAGCGTTCAGTCGCACTGGTTAGTGGTTACACATCACCTGATCGTTACGGATCACCTGTCTTGAGATAGCATCCTCTCCAAGTAGCGAGCGGATAATGTAAATATGACCTGGTAGCGATTCCCAGATCAGTGGTAACAGCAGGTACCCTTCATACTCGTGTAGAATGTAGAATGAAACACTTTTGAACAAATCCCTTTTAAACGTATTCCCTCCTCCAAGGTACACTAAGGATCTGTATCTAGCGATGATCCCTATAGTACTGCCTCTGCTCCTGCTGCTGATATCATACGGGCTGTTGGCTGCCGACCTAGTGAGAGAGATAACCGAGCAAAGGACTCTAGGTATCAAGGTAAGCGTAGTGTAATTAATGTGGAATAATACTTTCGGAACGAACTACGACTGAATAGTAAGGACATTAAACACTGATAAATGTATCGTCTATAACAGTAGTAGACATTTTTAATCCTTATTCATATTTTGAGTCTGACATTAAGATTCTGTGTGTCATTTCACAATGGTTCGCTTGCGACCAAAGAAGAAAAATCCACTTAATTCAACGACAGTTTTTCAGTCAACAGCTGATATTGATTTCAGGAGTTTTTGACAATGAACGGGCTAAAAAGATTGTCTTATTGGGCTTCGTGGTATTTGGTCGCCATTGTTATCTTCCTTCCAACCACACTACTAAACTTACTTGTAAGTGTTGTTTAACTTATGCTACTAAACTTACTTGTAAGTGCTGTTTAACTTATGCTACTAAACTTACTTGTAAGTGTTGTTTAACTTATGCTACCAAACTTACTTGTAAGTGCTGTTTAACTTATGCTACCAAACTTACTCGTAAGTGTTGTTTAACTTATGCTACTAAACTTACTTGTAAGTGCTGTTTAACTTATGCTACTAAACTTACTTGTAAGTGCTGTTTAACTTATGCTACTAAACTTACTTGTAAGTGTTGTTTAACTTATGCTACTAAACTTACTTGTAAGTGCTGTTTAACTTATGCTACCAAACTTACTTGTAAGTGCTGTTTAACTTATGCTACCAAACTTACTTGTAAGTGTTGTTTAACTTATGCTACTAAACTTACTTGTAAGTGCTGTTTAACTTATGCTACTAAACTTACTTGTAAGTGCTGTTTAACTTATGCTACCAAACTTACTTGTAAGTGCTGTTTAACTTATGCTACCAAACTTACTTGTAAGTGTTGTTTAACTTATGCTACTAAACTTACTTGTAAGTGTTGTTTAACTTATGCTACTAAACTTACTTGTAAGTGTTGTTTAACTTATGCTACCAAACTTACTTTCTGAACTGACAGAGAACAATACCAGGTACTGTTTGTGAGTAACGCGCTGGAGTACTCAGACATCACAGTTATCCTGGTGTTTCTCATCATCTTCACCCTCTGTTCAAGTGAAATCTAGCGACGGGGTAGTAACTATAGTGCCAATATGTTCAATTTCTCCTTTAGCTCACCTCATGAAAAAGAAGCACAGTTAACTCTCAATCAAATTTGTATCATCCCGTTTATTATCTTATCATGCAATTGCAACTTAAACTCTCCGTACTGGAGACCTGTAGATGGAGACAGTTTATTGTAGGGGAGTCGGCGTATTGTAAAGAAGTTAAACTTGAATTTGCACTCAGATCTTTCATTTTCATAGTATCAATAAAAAATGTTTATTCAACGATTGTCGTTCAATTTGTCTTTTTCAAAAATGAAACTACAGGAATTTATCATAATTTTAATCTAAAAGTGTTGAATGCTTTACAATAATATCAACAACAAAAAAAGAAATAAACACTATTTTGAAACTACCGTCTTCTAATTTAATTGTTCTTTATTTAACCAACTTCTGGCAATGTTTAACAAGCGTAAACAAATGATATCATATCTTTGCCCATCTTTTCTATACCTTTAGTAAGCAACAGCTCACATGAAACTACACCTCTTCTTTGAGAACAAGTAATAGCTTCGCATGTGCCGCTGGCGTAACATGCTGCCTTGGCTACGTTTATGCCTCCCTTAATGTTACCGATACTAACAGAACCCCTGAACCTGGTTTCCTCTAGTGCCTCCCAGCAGGATGGGTTGTGAGGGTTGATACCGGGGCACTCTCTTGGAGTACATTCAGCAGGGCAGTCTACTGGCTCAGGGTCTACTGGCTCAGGGTCTACTGGCTCTGGGTCTACTGGCTCTGGGTCTACTGGCTCTGGGTCTACTGGCTCTGGGTCTTCTGGCTCTGGTGGCCCCCTTCGGCTTGTTTCATCCGGCACTTCTATAATTCTTTCACCCTTTTCTAAAAATTGATATTATCTTAACTTTTCTTTAATTAAGTATTAAGTTCCTATATCTGTCAAAGAGAATGAAGGGAAATGTTGTTCAAAAGTTAAAACAACGTTGGAGTTCATTAATGTATTTACAAGAAGGCCATAGTGAAATTAGTGGTTGATAAAAATAAAATACTGGGTAAAAAATACTACCTTATTTACAATGTTAAATGTTCTTAATAGTCGTAATACACTCTGACTTGAACTTAATATGCTCATGATTAATGTGCTACTTACCAATCGTTTGTTTTCCTTTTCCTTTTCGGACTTCGATAATTGATTTTCCTTCTCCTTTTTCCTCTGGATTAAAAATGCAATTAAAATCAGATAAACTAACTTAAACTCGTTTTTTCTCATTGTTGCAATTTGTAAATAAAATCTTAATATTTCCATACTTCAAATATTTCAAATTTCAATAATTATTCAACGAACCTGCGCATTCTTCCTCAGACTCATCTGACCCGTCGGTGCAATCTGCTTTACCATCACAGAAGAGTTTCTTAGGAACACATTGCATACCGTCCGCACACTTCTTTTTGGCTGCCGGACACTCGTAGGCTGGTAAAGTGATTATTCATTATTTATTATTCATTATTTATAATACATAATTCTCAATTTATATAGCTTAATATTGTTAAAATAGTCCGCTTACCAGCACACCAGGCAGGATCTTCGTCCGACCCGTCCTTACAGTCTGGCTCCGAGTCACACAGATTCCATCGGGACAGACATTTACTACCATCACACTTTATTTGGTAATCCGGACACTCGTAGGCTGGTTTCAAAAATTAGATTTAGTAAAATTATGTACAGTACATTAATTATAGTTATACAATATACAGTAATCTGTTGACTAGTTAAATGTTAAGTGGAAAAGACTTTGATAAACTAAAATTTACTCAGATTTCTCTTATTAATCAAACTTAAGTAATAACTAATATAAGCTTATTAGTTAATTAAGCTAAATAATAACTGAGAAAAGTTAATCAGCTTATTGAGTTATTGAGTTAAATTGTAACTAACTTAAGTAAATAAGCTAATTAAGTTAAATAATGACTACACTTACTTATACAGAAAACCAGAGCTTCATCCGATCCGTCGATACATTGGGTACTACCGTCACACATTCTCCCTTTAGCGACACACTGGTTACCAGTGGCGCACTTTCTCGTGCCGATCCCGCATTTACCCGATCCCCTAACTAGTTTGAACATAATAAATATGTTATATTTATGTTATATTGGAGAAAAGCAGTGCTGAACTAACTTAAACCTATAAAATCTGCCGTTTGATTGCGGAGCGTAAATTTTGCAAATTAAAAATATTCTTAATATAACTATGCTCATTATGGAAAAGTACTTTTTCACTTGGTTAAATCTTATGTTCAATATTATGTCAAATATCTATTATACTAAGTGCTAACCATAGCAAATGTCGCGGCTCTCATCGGATCCGTCAGCACATTGCGTGCTACCATCGCACTTTCTCTGTAAGGAGGCACATCCATTTCCGTCAGCACACTCCATTTCGCCTTCTTTACAAGTGCAGCCCACGTCGTCGGACTTATCGTTACAGTGAGGAATTTTAAATTTATCACATTTTCCAGATGAAGGAAAACACTGGATTCCGTCCGCACACTTTTCCTGTTTAACGGGGCATTCAAAACCTGGTTGGGGTTTAAGTTACTTTATAGTACTTTTGTATTGTATAATTGTAAGACTTAGAGCTATACTTATAAAGGTAAATTTTGTCCAGTTTTTTGCAACAGAATATTAATCCGAATCACCCAACTACTTTCCATCATCGAAACAATTTCCCAACTTTTTCTATCGAATGAATAAATCATAACCACTCAACACATGATACCGCCTCATAAAACTATATTGAGGAATAACTCTGCATACTTGTGCAAAACTCTGCTGATTCATCAAAGCCATTTGAACACGCAGCACCTCCATTACAAAGACCACGGTTGGGAACACATTCGTCAATATCACCACACTTTGTTTGTCCCTCCGGACATACGTACCCTGACATTGTGGTTATTTGAAAATTATTCACTTTTGAATCGAATCGCTGATCGTTATATTATTATACGCAGTGACTAGTTTATTTTCGAGACTTTGTAGGGTCTCTTACACTAATACGTTGAAAGAAAACAAAATCCAAATAATTTGTATGAACTGCAATGACTTTTTTATAGATTGTGATTATATAATATATTTGCCGAATAAAATAAAACGATATTGTAATATTTCATTTTCTATAATTAGACATGACATTGTGCAGCAGAAAATAAAATAAGAAAAAGAAACAAAAGGAAAATATTTCAAACCTTTGTTAATGATTTCGGTTGGACCCTCTGTAAAATAATTATATTAGAAATTCTTGTAAAACATTTTCACATTTTATATTTTTAGCAGAAATGTGTCTTATCGCAGATTGCTGGTAGTAGTTTATTATGACATAAAGATTAATATTAATGTTTTTATTCCAAGAATTTACATACAAATTTACCTTCATTTACATAATTAAATAAATTTACATAAATAAATAAATAAAAACTTACCCTCTTCAATCGCACCTGAAATTCGTAATATGTTTACAACGACTCTCCAGATTCAAACTAGGTTTTAGTACGTTCGTGTTATTTGGAAATCAAATAAAAGTAAGAAACCAAAAATCATACGTTATCAAAAGTTTCATATATTTGCGAATCGTACATCTGGCTTAATAATTGCTCATTTAAACCTTTTCTATAAATAGAATTATCACAAGCTCACCCTTTTTAGTAAAGTACTCTATTTCAGTAACGGGATCTACTGAATAAAACACTTCATCGCCAGTAGCATCTTTCTCTGAAATAAAATAAATAATTGAAATAGCACAAATAATTTAAATAATTTCAGATTAGATGCTAAAATGGTGTTGTTTCAAAATGCTCCCAAACATAAACCTAGAAATAAAGCATAATGCCATGTTTGTCATGAAACTTGTAACATATCACGAAATTGAGTAAAAATGTTGGCCAGTAAAATCTCAATGCACCCACCATGATAACAATCGTTCACAGAATCAGATCCCTTCTTTGATAACATTCCTTTAGGACAGGGGGTGCAGGATGTAGCTCCTGCAGCACTGTACTGGTCCAGTCCACATTTCTTACAGCCCCTAGCTGACATGAAGCTTCCAGCTGGGCAATCTGTAAAGAAAAACTTGTTAGCAGGTGTTAGAGATATCGGCAATCAATGTCGAAAATTCTATTACGATTTGCAAAAATTATAAAACCCCTGAACTCCAAACTATAAACAAAGATTTGGGACTGAAAATAAATTTCTAAGATCAATGTCTAAATATTTCGAATTGATCGATACAGCTGTTATCTGGCTAACTGATTTTGAAATGAAAATAAAATAGGATATAGATCACATAAAAATCTTAGTATAAATATATACAAAGCCTTCTACTAACCTGCGAAAATAACCCCTTGAAGGCATAGCAGTATGATGCACGCTAGCATCGTTCCCTTTAAAACCATGGAGCTACCCTGCAAAGAGATTTTCAAAGGTAATACATCACGATAAATGCATATTGTTTGTTTCTCTAAGCTTCCATTGATATTTCTAGTTATATTCCTTGGAATGAGATAAGATGTAAACAGTAGTTATGCCCCACCCACAATCTTAACTATAAATATATTAAGTATATCAACCAGACATGGCAACAAAACTATATATGTTTTTTCGTTCTTCGTTTAGAGGCACCAATCTTAGAGGCACCAAATAATGGTCAACCAATAAAGTACCAATTGCCCCAGCGGTACAAATTTAATAAAAAATATACCCAAATAAGGGTTAATCTGTTGATTAGATAAACAGCTACAACCATTTCCATGTTTCAACAATAACATTATTTCTTTTGCAAATCGTGAAAATCACATGCACATCTTTATGAACGCTGATGTTGTAAATTCGACGTGTCCATTAATTACTGTGCAGGACGTGAATTATTTAAACAGGTATTGGTAACCTCTCGACAAGTTAATTTTTCCTGCTAAGTTATAAATTCTGCCTATAATCCAATAAAATTAAATTCGATATTAATAGTACAAAAACCACGGAGATTAAGCCATTGTCCCGTATTATAAATGCCATTGACCTTATTTTAGAATTTTTACCTTTATGAACTTTTATGGAAAAACTATTAAAATTAATTCTAGTAATCCGATATAATAGCATCGCCGGTTCTATGATAAAAAGTTTTTAAAAACAATTCACAGCCACCTCAACAAGTGTCCACTACGAATTATATTATTTGCTAAAATTTACACCTTAAGGATGTAAGTCAATTGTTTAAAGGACGAGCCAATTCCAGTTTACGGTACTAATTTAGCACGCTGTACTGATACTGTGTGTTGTTAGTGACAATCTAGTCCAAATCTGGTGTTTCTATCTGCTTCCTACGCCTTATTAGGGCTAAATAAAGAATATGAGGTGATACGTAAATCTGGCCCCGCTATTAACACGCACTCTCACGTCACTGTGTAAACACGTTATATTTGATACTGTGTGCGTTGTTTTGGTTTCGTATTGTACACGTAATTTACTGAATATTTGAGTGATAATGCCTACGGAGTGGCGGGTATTAAAATTAATGACATTTATATTTGCAACAAATTGTAATATCTACCATTATATATTAATACAGTGTTAACGTAAGATTATACTAAAGTTTATTATAGAATGACATGAAAACAGTGAGAAGTACTCTCACATTCTTGACTTTCTCTGCTCATGCATAGCTTCTTTTCGGGAAGGGTTGCTCCGTGAAATGTTTTGGGGATAGCTTTGCGGATAATATGATATGTTGTATTGAGGTTGTACATTAAGACTGTGTTACTCTTAATTTTTTCTTCGATATCCACAATCAAGGCCTTTTTGAAGGAAAGATATCATAAGTCCTCCTGTTCTTTAGAATGTAAGATTTCAATAAGTTATGTGTCAGTCCTCCTCCTCTACCTCCTCTTCCTCCTCTACCTCCTCTTCCTCCTCTTCCTGGGTCCTCCTCCTCAGTCCTTCTCCTCAGTCCTCTTCCTCCTCCTCCTCCTTCCTCCACCTCCTCCTCCTCAGTCTTCTGCAGTCCTTCTCCTCCCCTTCCTCCCCCTCCTTCCTCCACCTCCTCCTCCTCAGTCTTCCGCAGTCCTCCTCCTCCCCTTCCTCCCCCTCCTCCTCCTCCTCCCTCTTCCTCCACCTCCTCCTCAGTCTTCCGCAGTCCTCCTCCTAGCCTCCTCCCCTTCTCCTCCCCCTCCTCCTCCTCCTCCCTCTTCAGTCTTCCGCAGTCCTCCTCCTCCCCTTCCTCCCCCTCCTCCTCCTCCTCCCCCTCCTCCTCCTCCTTCTTCCTCCACCTCCTCCTTCTCCTCCTTCTCAGTCCTCATCAGTCATCCTCCTCCTTAGTCCTCCCCTCAGTCCTCCTCCTCCTCTTTCTCCTCCTCCTCCTCCTCCTCCTCTTCCTCCTCTTGAAGTAGGGATTTAAGACTTAGAACTATGTCTTACGGAACTCATATTCTTGAATCAATGTCCCCTGGCACAAAGTCTGTGTATTTTCCATTCGGTGATGGAAACATAACACGAATACGTGAAACCACACATGCACAGGATGGCACCACTCCTCCTCAGTCCTCGGCCTCCCTAGTCCTTCTCAGTCCTCCTCAGTCCTCCTCTTCCTCCTCAGTCCTCCTCCTCTTCCTCTTTCTCCTCCTCCTCCTCCTCCTCTTCCTCCTCCATAAGACACATATGAAACAATTCTCATCCCAATCACTAGAAATTGATTAATTTTTCTGTTTACTGGGGCTGCGAGCTCGACTGGTGGTACGTCCCAATCGTGCTGCAATTGAATCAATATAGGCATTGAGATAAATCATAAAAAAGAATTGATGGTATATCAATATGCTTATCAACGCATGTAGAAACTTATTTAAAATTGTATGTATCATGCAATCCTACGTAAAATACGAACATTGATAAAAATGGATGGCGATAACAAGACATTTAATGTTAATTTAAAGTCAACTAACCTATTAATATTCCCTACAAGATAGAAATGATTTGGAAATGATTATAGAGAAAATTTATAAGCGGTACGTTGGTTTTGAATACAAAGCCGCGTGATTTATAATCTTATAATCTTATGACTAACTGAGCTAATCAATCACATTTTTTGCCTTAATGAAATTTAGGCTGGAATAATTGCAGAACCAGACAAACTTTTCGGATGAATATAGCCGCTAATCAGAGCAAAATGAGACCGATCCTGCACCAATACCATGTCTTCTCCAACGTATTATGTTTAACTTAATTTGATACAACGTGAATATAAATGGTAATTATAGAATTCTTTCCGTATAACATGAATCAAATGGATCCGGGTGGAAACTTTGTATTGAAATTCGATTTAATGCGGTACCTTTGTCACAAACCTTTCTTTTTGGAAAAACACATACGTAGAGTGGCATACTGATTCTAAATTTTTCCAGGGAAATTTGGGAAATTGGCCGTTAATTTTTTTGAAACCTTAACACGTAATGCGAGATCAGAAATAAGATGTTCATTTTCGGTGGATTTTTCGCCTATAACTATAAGCATCCTAATTCATATTGAATATTTACTTAAAGTTAAAGTTAAACTTTAGGCTTTAACCAGTTTATATGGGCCAAAATCTATCAAATTTGGTGCGTGCGCTCAAATATGGGCACATAGTTTTTGGCTGATAACTCAGCCATTTTTTCCCTATTAATAAAGATTCCTATACGTCCCTTGTGTTAGTCCTCATCAACTAACACGCCTTGCTACTGCAAGAAGAGACGACGGGTGGGGTGCCTAGTCTGAGCACGGCTTTCACAACCCCGCCCGCTCTGGGGTGGCTAGCCAGCAAACTGCAGGGATCACTCACTCCATCCCCCCTGTTGTTTCTGGACCCACTAGCAACCTCAGAGTGACCTCCACGTTGGTAAGGGATGGTAACTGCCCCTCATTGTCCGGCAGGCTAAACGTCGTCTGGCTGGATCAGATCAAATACCAGCACATACCTGGCCTCTCTCCACTCCACCTCACTCACACAGGAGCCCGGCAAGCTCCTTTCCGCTACGGACAGTAGAATATTAAAACGACCCAACCATGGACAAATGGTACTTAAAACCCACAAATATGCCAAAACAGTACAATAGCTCGTCACATAAACAGAGAGAACGGCAAAAGGGGTCTACTGAAAACACGGAACGCGCGGACAAAGACATACATAGTAAAGAAAGCCACAAATTTATCACCAAACTGGTGCGCGCGCGACCAAACAAATCACGGCAAAACAACAAACATCAAGCACAGTAAATATCGAGAAACACCTAGCGGAGCTGTTAGCCAGATAACAGTGGAAGTGGTAGTTTCTCGCATTATCAAACCCAATTTTCCGGGAGGCTGTTTCGACAGTTGACTTTCTATGGACTCAGAAAGTCCCCCGATGACGGAACATATGGCAGATACTTTTAGGGGTATCGCCGTTCCACCGGGTCATAACAGCAATGTTATGTCCATTTGGTTCGTGCCGGCTCAGCGAGTCAGCCATCCCAGCCGAGCTTTCGGTACACCTCCGCAACCAAAGGAGCTCCAAGAGACGTTAGCCACAAGGCGGACGTAGCCTCCCCGCAAACCCGGGGAGGTAGAGTGAGCGCCCATCGACAAAAAAAAAAAAAAAAAAGATTCCTATACGAGTTCAAAATACCGCTAGCTACAATTTAACCTATAATGTCAGTTTTGGGTATATAGTATGTCGATTTGGCATAGTAATTGGGCCACGTCCACAAAATTTATCAAAATCAGTGTGCGGATGGAACAAATTCTGAAATAATTGTCGATGAATTGTTTAACTTAATTAAACAAAACAATAACAAGCAATTAACACGTATGGTTATACTCCCACTCCTAATTTATCATTTATTTCATACTGCTGCAACCCAGGGCAGAATTTTATTTTGAAGAGATGAAAACCCTGAGCCTCCCCAAGCTAACGTTAAAACACGATAAATTATTCATTCATTTGAAACATAGAAATTAGAAATTAGAAATTCTGAACATATAATATCCAATTTGATCAAAATTATGTGCTCAGTTCTTCTTGAACCTTGATTTTTGACAAAGTAACAACATTTCAAGTCAATTTTACAGCATAAAGGAGATATTTTATTCAAAATTTGATGTCTTGTTTAAGTTAGATAATTGTTTAAGCATTCTGAAAATCTACCGGAAAGTTTGCCTTAATTAAAATATTTATAAAATTTGGAATATCAGGTAAAAACCAGTGTCATCCATCGCGTCGGGCAAACTGATAGTAATACTAAAGTACTAATAACCATAATTGGTTCGTGCGCACTTTACGCAATAAAGATTCAATAAACATCAGCTAATTGGACACTAACTACCAACCTTATCCCGAAATACTATTACTAGGTAGCGACGCGAAAGCAACCCAAAGAGATTTTTGCAGCATATGTGATTGAATGATTGATATAATTTTATTTTTAATTGTAGTTGACGAAATGAGAGTCTCCACTCAGTGTGTTAAAACATAATTCTTTGTCGACGTTTCGGCTACATGCCTTTGTCATAAACAGGACGTACTGAAAACTTACATAGCTGCAAAGATACAATGTTAAAATAATCTATTAATACTACGAAATATAACAACAAAAAAATAACATCTTGAAACACAACAACAATCACAAATTTATCCAAAAGAAACATAAAATATAATGGCTAAAAGAATCCACATCTTTGCAGCTATGTAAGTTTTCAGTACGTCCTGTTTATGACAAAGGCATGTAGCCGAAACGTCGACAAAGAATTATGTTTTAACACACTGAGTGGAGACTCTCATTTCGTCAACTACAATTAAAAATAAATGATTGACCCACTCATAAGAGCAAAACAAGATTACCAGATTGATATAATTAATTGAAACTTATTACAATTCGTAAGTCGTGAATGAATGGGAAAAGCGAGCGACCAATTTCATTCTCGGTATCATTTTGCATTTGCGGACGGTTTTTCAAATTAATATCATTTTATTTTGTTTGGGAAAGAGAGACACTGGCAGGGGTCCACCCTATCCATGATTATGAATTTTGTCAAATTGATAAAGTTAAACAGAAAGAATTTAAAGCATTACTTGAAGCATGCAATATGGCCCGTAAGACAGGAGCCATACTAAATTACTCTAAATCTATCGTACCCTGCAACGTGTCCAGTTTTATAAATGGCTACGTTCCTTGCAACGCGTGAATCTTTGACTCAAACTGAAAAACATGATTTATTTCTGGTGGTAATTGACTAATGACTGGCACCGCTTTGCAATTAGATTGTGCGTGGCACCGGAAAAGTTTCTGCAACGGAAAAGTTTCTGCAAGTTTCTGCCTAAACTCCTATGGAGAACCCGGCGAATGTCCTTGCTGTACGGCAGTGTTAAACAAGGAACTGAAACCGCGGAGGGGTTCCGTTCAGGCGATCACACTTTAATATACTGTCACAATACAATGCAATAGTGACTTTAATATTATACTCGGACTCCTAGTCCTACACTTACAGACTCGAATCTAATAGTCCAGGTAACACAAATTCCAACTGATCTCTACTTGTTCCGCGGAAGGAGTATTGAGAAGCCAGGAGTGTTCCGCAGAAGCAATATTAAGAGGTGCAAGGATCTCAAAGGAACTTTTAATCGAATTGCACAATCAAAAGGTCGTATGTGATAATATATAGTCCTAGTCCTAGTCCTACAGACTGGTAATCTATAAATTGTCCACTGTCCAGGTAACACAAATTCCAACTGCTCTGATCTATTTGATGAAAAAAATGTACTACAATTCCAACTGCTGATGATTCTTTCAAAGAAATTTCTAATAAAACAGTAAACTCAGTGCCAACAATTGAAAATGAAATTAAATAAATCGTGTTACTACATTTAATTTTGATTGTTTGTCCTGAGAAATTGATTGGGTATTTTAAGTCAAAATAAAATAAAATAAAGAAGCTGTTGATAATAAAACGGTTTTATATCAATACTCAACCCAATCCAAACCATACACACAAACCCGAAGTATCGGAGATAACCATAACCTTATAAACCATAACTAACTCTAACCATAACCCTAAACAGTTAAATTTAGTTTTACTTGAACACTCCAATTATTTCAGCCCTCAATAAAATTGATTTCGGATATAGACAATGAACATATTGATATATAAATACAGCGACTTCACGGCGCATTATAATGTACAAGGAGTAAATATGCTATCCATTTATTATCAAAGTAATTGATAAATGACGAAGGAACTGATATGAAGGAATGGGAAAGCGAGCTTGTCAAACAAGAACTACACGAAAATGATAACAATTCACAGTTTGATACATAGTTTGAAGCTCTCTGCTCTCTCTCTGTTCTGGTCAACGGTTTCTGGCCTCATACTTTATGAGGGAGGTCTTATCACCGTGCCCACAGAATGCAACTCCTGCTAGCTGCACGCCAGGACTCCCAAAGTATATACGAAATCATAAAATAATAAATATCAATGCAACAGACCCCTGGAGTCTTGAAGCTGTCACTACGTGTCTCAGAGCAAACCCACTTCCGTTGTAGTACTTCTGCGGGCAGACAAAGGACTTCCGAGCAAGGTCAAAGCCTGGGAGATATGTCTCTATGCGGAGATGGGCCTATAGTTGAGTTCCTAGTGTGGGATTTAGCGAAAGTTCCTGGTGAGGAATCCAAGGAGGTTACCCAAAAGGGTTTTCCCTATCCAGTCTAATAGACTGTTCCTCAAATTTGAAGATATGGTTCAGTTTACTGTTACTAAGTTATTAAGATCCTCCGTAGGGTTTATCAATTATCGTCATTCTGAGCGTCATAATCTGGATGCACTTGCAGAGAAGGTGCTGGGGTGTTTCTGCTTCTCCTGAAAAGTGTTCACAATCTTGCGTATCGAAGCTAACGTTGTTTGCCACGTTCTGAAAGTAAATTAGTGGGCTGTGACCTATCCTGACAGCGACTATCATGATAGCCATATGATGTGAGTTCAAGAAAAATTAAAGTTCCTGTATTTATGTTTGTGGAGGAACATCTCAAGTGAGATTTTCCTTTGTCACTGAGTGTGGCCTAATTGGGAGGAAGGGTTCATGTCATATGGGGATGTTGTTGGATTGATCGTCCCTTGCGAATTCGTCCGCAGGTTCTTTACCGTATACTCCTACATGTCCTGGAATATCTAAGTTCTACTCGATGTGAATACCTAGTGAGTTGAGTTGGTCTGAGTTGTTCAGAACGAACCTGGAGTTAAAACTAGTGCTGTTAAGCCCTTTAAATGCAGCCTGGGAATCTGAGAGGAATTAATAAGTAATGGGGATCCTAATTCCTAAGTTATCATTAGTCCAGATACTTGCCATGTGTAACGCAAATAGCGGGTACGATTTCCTCAATGAACCTGAAGGAGGATTGTCTGTCCTGTAATGTTACCATGTAACGTCAAGCTAACAAAATGAATCCAAAGTTTGAGTAATGCATTCGTTAAAAGTTGTATGTCCTATTTTCATCCCCGAAGCATTGCATTAATGTTTATTCCTGGTCCGGTTAGTTTTGCGTCTCAGAACTAGTTCCGCTATGCTTTAGTGAGCTATGCTGTCCACCAGGGTACTGCAGATCTAAGGGTTCCCCGTGTAATGGGACAGGCTGTGATAAAACATCTCAGCACTTCTGCAGAAGGGTGTCAGTCTAACCCCACTGCTACTAGATGAGCGTACAGTCACACTTCAATGTGGCAAAGCTAACCCGGTCCCCTAATCCTAAATGTGATGGCCTCAAGATGAGTCCTTAGCTGTCTTGCTGAGAAGACCTGAAAAGTGGTTACTGGAGGCCGGAGGGAAAAGTGCCAAGACTACTAATTATCAGTGTGTCCTTGTAGTCAAAATGAGCGAATTGGGATCCCTAACTCTAAGCTTTGTGGTGGGTGACTTCGATGGGACCTGAAAGCTGAAAGAGAATTTCCTGATGATTTAATAGCTCTTAGAGCTTTAGAGCAAGGTATCTGTGTCTAACGTGTCGTCATTTGTGCGTGTACTATCTTCTTATCTTGTAACCTGATTTCTGAAAGAGAAATTTCCTGGTGCTTGGTAGCTGTTAGTGTTGACTTCCTGGTTCCTATGGGAACTTTGAGTTGGCAAGGCCCAACCTTTGTATTTAACAAAAGAGCACACCACCCGTTAGTGCCGACCAGCCCACACCACGTGGAGGTTCGGAGAGGATTTCGTGACCCCACAGTTTGAAGCATGGATCGACAAATTTCATTTTCTGTGTTATGGGAATTGGGTCATTTTAGTTTATAGGTAACGATTCACTTTATCAAATTTTGCAGGGCGTCTAGAGTCATTCTAGACGTTGACCAAATCGACTGCAAAAAAAACTTTCAAGTATCGGGAAATTGATTTCTGAAACCCTGTTTTACGACAGATTGTCGTGATACATATATACGACATACGTACATATAATTATATATTCAGGGATAGACGCTTTTCCAGTCAATTTTAGCCTGTATCTAACAGTCCGTAGATTAAAAAGTATAAAAGATACAGCCGTTTCCGACGGCTGTAGGTCTTAAAGATAATTGTTTACAGAATAGTTTACAATATATGAAATAAACTAGGACGGAAGTTCGCTAAAACTGCATGAATGGACATTCAAATCTAGAACAGGTTGCAAAATTGAAGACCACGTCACCAATATTTGTTTACAAATTCAGTCGCTGACCGTATGTGATTTAATGCAGCCTCCGCCCCCCAATAATTATGAATCAACGGAAATGTGCCTTGTGTCACAGCGAAGGTATGTGTTTTTCGATCTAGGAAAAGATTGGAAACATCATTGTAGAAATCAGGAGACATGTACCTTGCTCGGAAATTAGATTATGAAAATATGTGGAATCTATTTATCAAAGAAATGGATTAATAAACAGGAAACTTATGCTTTATAGTACGTTGTTTTTCATAAAGTAGAGAGCAGTTGGAATTGTTGTTACAGCTTGACCTGGACAATAATAGGTTAGCAGTCTGCACTCTGCAGAACTATATCAATATGGATTATGGACACGTTCATTGAAGTTTGAGGATATTGGTAAATATTAAGATAATGGGTTCTTTTGCGATAGTCAAAACGCGACAACTAGCGCTGGATGGCGACAACTAGCGCTATCCAGCGCTGGCCAGCGCAATGTATCGAAATCATATACTTGCGATATTACTCGTCAGCCAGCGCTGGCCAGCGCAATATAGTTGCGATATTACTCGTCAGCTAGCGCAATGCCAATATAAATATAATACATCAAAATCAAATATTTACGATATTAACCGTCAGCGCAATATATACCAAAATCAAATATTTATATATTAAGTATGCTGAAAGGTACAAATCCAGTTGATAGCAATGGAAACAAAAACTAGACGGTACCGGTTAAACGACAGAGAAGGGTTAAAACCCTACACTGTTGCGGAATCAGAACCTATGAAGCTTATTAATCCGTCAATATACTGGAAATATTTTGGAGGAGAACTTTTTCTGCTTAAACAGTTGGCCCAAATAGTATTCAGTGTTTTAAGTTCTTCGTCAATTTGTGAGACCAATTTTAGAGCTTACGAGTATATTATGGACAAGCGTAGATTAAGATTGCGACCCGAGCTAGCTGAAAAGCTGGTGTTCGTATACTGCAACAAAAGGATGAAGCTTTGAGTTTAACGATAATTACAAGTAGTATAAGTAGTAGTAGTGTAGTACCGGAATTAAGAGCGATCCGGTACACAAATTTTCCTCTTAAATCTTTTATTGTTTTAACCACTGTGTTTATTTTCGACTTCTATCTCAAAAATTATGATGATAATACTAATCAAAAATTGCAAGTAATTCACTAAAGTTTATTCTAAAAATTTGAAAAAAAATTGTACCTTACAGTGCCTGTACGATACGTACCTTTAAAAGTAGATGTACCGTACGTACTTATAGCCCTGTACCGTACGTACTTGCCATCTAAATTCTAAGGGTCAAACGCCTTGGAAAAGTCAAGAAGCAGTAATGCTGACACTTGCTTCCTTTCTAGAGCTTTATGTAAGTTAAACTGAGCTTCAAGCAACGCATGTTCACAGCTGTGACCCGATCTAAAACCAAATTTCGACGCATATACTATATAGAATATTACGTGATTTTAGGTGCTTTACTAAACGTGCATGCATTACTTTTTCGAATATCTTTGAGAAGCAGGAAAAAAGCGAGATTGGTCTGTACACTGTAGTTTGTAATTTTGCTGCGCGATCCTCCTTTATGGAGTGGGATAACCTTATTATACTCTTAGCAAGTTTGAGCTTTTCGAGGAATACTCCTTCGTGAAGGGAGTGTGAGATCAGGTGATTAACTACTGGAGACAGCACATTACAAACCTATTTAAGAGGCTGTATATTCATATCTGAAGTCGATTTGTTCTTAAGATCGTGTATGATTTCAGCGATTTCGGAGGGCGAGGAGTCCTTCAGCTCCATATCAAAATCGCATCGACTAGATTGGGGAAAAGAATGTTCTACTGATCCTACACCGCGAACCAGATTGTTATCGCTTTTTAGGTTCTCAGCTATATTAGTAAAATAATCATTAAAACTGTAGGCTATATCTTGTGAGTCGGTAATAACTCTGTTTTTATAGTTAATCTTAATTATTTTTCTGTTTTCTTTTGATTTCTTGTTTAAGAAGAAAGTTGGGACAATCTCTAAAGAAGTTATAGACCTTGGAAGCGCACGAGCATATTATACGAGCCTCAGCCTGGACTGAGACTTCTATAATTATTAATAACCTGCACTGATCTGGAATTATCAGCTCAGACTCACGGCTGATCGTATAACTGACATGCTGACTTAAATTACAATTTGTAAGTCCCTGCTTGTTGGCTAGGGCCTGTCGTGATATCATGGATCGCTTAGGTTCCACCAGGATCTGGTAGTCCTCATAATTCTGCGGCCTCTAAGTCTATGTAACAACAAGTTGTTGCCTATGATTTTAGAATCATAGCACCTTATTATACTTGCTTACTTGGGTAATAACCGTCGGTAAACTGGGTGTTTCACCACAGCCCTCGAAATAACCGATTGTTATAGTTAAGATAAGTGAGCTCAGTTAGTGCCCAGGTCATTTAAAGATTGGCTGCTTGCTCATCTGCACGTTGTTCCATGATGGGACTACACTCTCTGGTTAACAATTATAGGATGCTGGTACAATTGTTGGTAATGCTGTATGAATTAAACTTGTACATTGCTACATTGATCTGTTTTCCTTAGTTCCTTACTGTTAGCCACCAAAAAGATATAAATAACTAATGATTAAAAGTCTTTGTGGGGCGAACAATTGACTACTCTGAACGAGTGTCAACACGTGATCTCCAACACGTGATCTCCAGCACGTGATCTACAACACGTGATCTCCAGCACGTGATCTACAACACGTGATCTCCAACACGTGATCTACAACACGTGATCTCCAACATGTGATCTCCAACACGTGATCTACAACACGTGATCTCCAACACGTGATCTACAACACGTGATCTCCAACACGTGATCTACAACACGTGATCTACAACACGTGATCTACAACACGTGATCTCCAACACGTGACCTACAACACGTGATCTCCAACACGTGATCTACAACACGTGATCTACAACACGTGATCTATTAGATGATTTCAAAAGTTGTTCATATACACTTCTCAACCCCTCCTCCTACTTTTAAGTCTCCCTCTCAACCAGTGGCGCAACGAAGGGCCCCGCTGTGCATTCAAATCGTCGTTTGAATGTGGGACAATTTTGAAAAACTCAACTGAGGTACTAGCAAAACTGCGTTACGTCTCCCTCTAATCCTCTAACTGAAACTCGACATCCCTCTCAATCTAATCCTCTCTTTTTCTTTAATCATCGCTCCTCTTCTCAACCCCTCATTCTCCCTGCATCTCAAGTTATCAACATCATAGAAAGTTATAGATGTGGGTTGTGGTTGGGAGTTGATGTTTGGCACGTTACACTGGTCCTTGAGTTTGATTGGTCGATAGTGGATACAGATTGGCGAATTGCTTTGGGTAGATCAAGCTCTATAGCATGGTCTGCCGGTCTTGAGGTTATTCTCGGTATTTCCTGGTAGTCGTTGGAAAACAATTGGAATGTATTACCCATCATGTTCATTGTTCAAGTGAAATCTAGCGACGGGGTAGTAACTATTATAGTGCCAATGAGCTCAATTTCTCCTTTAGCTCACCTCATGAAAAAGAGTTAACTCTCAATCAAACTTGTATCATACAGTTTATTATCTTATCAGGCAATTATAACTTAAACTCTCCGTACTGGAGACCTGATGGAGATAGTTTATTGTAGGGGAGTCTGTAAAGAAATTAAACTTGAATTTGTACTCAGATCTTTCATTTTCATAGTATCTATACAACATATTTATTCAACGATGGTCGTTCAATTTGTATTTTTCAAAAAATGAAACTACGGGAATTTATCAGAATTCTAATCTAAAAGTGTCAAATGCTTTACAGCAATATCAACAAACAAAAAAAATGAACACAATCTTGAAACTACCGTCTTCTAATTTAATTGTTCTTTATTTAACCAACTTCTGGCAATGTTTAAGTTTTAACAAGCGTAAACAAATGATGTCATACCTTTGCCTATCTTTTCTTTTCCGAATGACGTCAACAGCTCACATGAAACTGCTCCTTTTCTCTCAGAACAAGTCAGAGCTTCGCATGTGCCGCTGGCGTAACATGCTGCCTTGGCTGCGTTTATGTCTCCCTCAATGTGACCAATGCTCACATCGTCCTTGAACCTGGTGTCCTCTAGAGCCGTCCAGCAGGCTGGTTTGTGAGGTTCGATACCGGGGCAATCTCTAGCAGGCAGAGAGCATTCTTCTTTTGCAGGGCATTCTATTTCTTCGACAACAGGGCATTCCTCGACAGCAGGGCATTCTTTTTCAGGGCATTCTTTTTCAGGGCATTCTTTTTCAGGGCATTCTGTTTCAGGACAGAAAGGAGCTGGGCATTTTTGTTCAGGACAAGCTTGGCACTCTTTAACCGGGCATTTTTCAACCGGGGGGCATTCTTTAACCGGGGGGCATTCTTCAACCGGGAGGCATTCGACAACTTCGCACTCCCCATCAACGACGGATACGTCTCCATGCATTTCTTCGGCCAGAATATCAGCGTAAGATATGACGGGTTCCGAACCACTCAAACCAGCAAAGAAGATCCCACACATACCTTCATTGAAGATAGAAGTAATTTCAGCTTGAGTGAGAGCTCTGTCCCACATGTTGATGTTGTAGAGGTTTCCAATGTAGGCTTGGGCAGAGCTGAACCCTCCTCCTACACTGTCCTGCTCCTGTCCGATAACCAGATTACCTCCTGCTGTCAAAGCCTCTCCTTTCTTGACCACGACAGTGTTGACTGCTTTTCCGTTGATACTGATGACGGCATTTCCAGTCTCTGAGTTCCAGGAACCACACACGTGGACCCACTTGCCCTTATTAGCTGGTAGCACAGGAGATTTAGTCATGATTCTCCTCACATAAAATCTGTGAACACCCGATGCGTCTCCCAAGATGATCTCGTTATCGTTTCCAGGAACTGCGTAGCTGAACCAGAATCTAGCTTGTCCATTCTCCGTGTCCTGCTTCCAAGCACACACAGTTAATCCAGTCAGGGCAGGAAGTTTAGGGTTGAAGCTGATGTAGTTGGCGTTGCTAGCAGCGGGGAAGTTGATGATCTTGTTGTAGCTGGTGTCACAGGCGCTGCCACTGGCGGCTAGTCCCACCACTGAGAGAAGAATTGTCAGAGAGATCATCATTGGATTGTGAATAAGATAAGTGAGCTCAGCTGGTTCCCTGGGTTAGTTTAAGATTTGCTGCTTGTATATCAGCACGTCGTTCAATGATGGGACTACATTCTTTTGTTAACATCCGAGTATGTGATCGTCAAATTGCTCGATCAAACTTGTATCATCTGGTACATCATCCGGTTTATTATATTATCAGACAATTGTAACTTAAACTCTCCGTATAATATTGCTTGAAGTCAAAAATGGCGAGCTGGAGGTCAGTCTTACAGGTTCAAATCTAACGTATCCGGGTTTTTCAGCCCGTGAGCACAGTGTCGCAACTTTGCCTGTTGGCGCCTCTTGCTGAAAAATAGCCTTCCTGTTGGCGCCCCCTCCCCTTTGTCGCCCCTCCCTAAAATTGAACAAATTAGATGATTTCAGAAGAAACGCCGGTAAAATCTCTAAAAAAGTGTATTTCTAGATCAAAGCGCGCGCAGTTTTGCTAGTACTGTAGTTAAGTTTTTTCAAATCGTTCCACATTCAAACGACGATTTGGCGACCCCCTAAGATGGCGCCCCCTACACAGCGGGGTCGGCGGGGGCCCTTCGTTGCGCGCCACTGTGTGAATATTATTTCCAATTTAAGGTTAAGACTGGATCTGGCCTTGTATATCGACGTGCAGATATACAAGGCCGTATCCGTCGTTGATGGGGAATGCGATGTTGTCTAATCTTCTAATGCCCCCCGGTTGAAGAATGCCCGGTAAAAGAATGCCCGGTTAAAGAATGCCCTGGTCTTTTCTGCCCTGAAAAAGAATTCCCTGTAACAGAATGCCCTGCTGTCACATGCCCTGAAAAAGAATGCCCTGCTGTCGAGGAATGCCCTGTTGTCGAAGAAATAGAATGGCCTCCAAAAGAAGAATGTTCTCTGCCTGCTCGAGATTGCCCCGGTATGATCGAACCTCGCCAACCAGCCTGCTGGACGGCTCCACTGGAAACCAGGTTCAAGGACGATGTGAGCATTGGTCACATTGAGGGAGACATAAACGCAGCCAAGGCTATGTGTTATATTACGCCATTGGAACATGCTTAGCTATATTTTGTGCGGAGAGAAGAGTGTGAGCTGTTGACGTCATTCGGAAAAGAAAAGAAAGGCATATGGATTACGTCATTTGTTTACACATCTGAAGCAGTGCCAGAAGTAGGTGAAATAAAGAACAATTAAATTAGAAGACAGTAGTTTCAAAATTGTGTTCAGTTCTTTTTTGTTTTTGATATTATTGTAAAACGTTCAATACTTTAAAAAATAATGCCAATTTTGATAAAATTCCCGTAGTTTCATTTTTGAAAAATTTAACGACCATTGAATGAGTACATTTTTTTGAGTTACAAAAATGAAACATCAGGCCCCCAATACGGAGAATTTAGGTTACAACTATTTTAATACTTTCAACACTACTATATAACAAATAATTTGAGGTATCGAATTATTACAAAGCAGTTGTTTAGTTTTTTTAAGAACTGACAATTTGTCATTTTGTCTTTCGGTCCTTGATGCAGCATTTGATACCATTGATCACACAGTCTTATTGGAAAAGCTTATGAAGGACTATGGAATTACTGGAAGTGCACTGCAATGGATAAAGTCCTACCTTGAGAAAAGACACTTCTGTGTTAAGATTGATGATACTCTTTCATCTTTCTTGGAGCTGCTGTTTGGAGTTCCCCAGGGATCACTCTTGGGGCCTATTCTTTTCATCCTTTATATCAAAGCTCTCCAGAAAATTGCGGCCAAATATGGTCTTGATATACAGCTCTATGCAGATGATTCTCAACTGTACATCTCATTTAAACCAAACCGTGTGGTACAGTTCATTGATGTCCAAGACAGAACAAACAAATGTCTTGCAGAGATAAAAGCATGGATGGTGAACAACTACATGAAACTGAACGAAACAAAGACAGAACTACTGGTGTTAGGAAAGAGCCATGTTCTAAAAAAGTGTGAACTCAGTGTCAGACTGCAATTTGGAAGCACTGAAATTCTGCCTACGGAGTGTAAAGGAGACAGCTGGAAGAGTCTGGGTGTCAAATTTGATGAAACTCTAAATATGGAAAGACAGATCAATAATGTCAAAAGGAAATGCAGCTGGACAATGATGAATCTAAGAACCATTGGTCGTTACCTTGATGGAGGCATTAAATTGGTGCTGGTGAAACAACTGGTCATATCTAAATTAGACTACTGTAATTCTCTTTACATGAATCTACCCAAGACCAGATTGAACAAACTTAGATCAACCCTTAATGGGGCAGTTCGTTTCATCTATAACATAGAAGAGAGGACCACGGACTTGGTTCCCTTCTATAAGAAGGCCCACATACTCCCTATAGACCAACGAATCTTCTTTAAAGTTTGTCTTTTAACCCACAAATCAGTTCACGGTACTGCACCTGATTACCTCAAAGCACTACTGGATGTGGATGTAATGGATAAAGAACTCTCAAACACCATGACCATGACCAGGTCGAAGAGACCTGATGACCATCTCATGCTCAAGGTACCAAAGAATAAAAGATCCAAAGTTGATGACAGACGTTTCTCAAGCCATGCACCGATTGCATGGAACTCTCTTCCCCTGATGTTGAGATGTATCAATGATACCAACTGTTTCAAGCGAACGTTAAAGAATCATTTATATAATCAGTTCTGATGTTTTTCTTTCCATTGTCTTCACTTTGCAAAACACATTGGCTTTTATTTTTTACCGCACTCCATTTTATGCCTTGATCTCTTACTTACTTGGATCTGATTCTTTCTTGATTGATTATGTCACTGTACTAACCTTTATTATACCTACATGTACTGTATGGTTTATGCTTCTATTTAGTTTAGTGTGGTTTACAATAAAAGATGTTTTAATTTTGTCTTTGCCTTATGCTGAGTTATACTTTAGTTCACTTTTAACACTCTTGCTCAAATCACTCACAGTCAGCCGCTCTGACATGGTTAACCACATTCCTTGTGTTGTTGGTTAATCATATGAGCGGGATATAAATACCTCATTTCATTTCATTTCATTTCATTTCATTTCATTTCATTTCATTTCATTTCATTTCATTTCATTTCATTTCATTTCATTTCATTTCATTTCATTTCATTTCATTTCATTTCATTTCATTTCATTTCATTTCATTTCATTTCATTTCATTTCATTTCATTTCATTTCATTTCATTTCATTTCATTTCATTTCATTTCATTTCATTTCATTTCATTTCATTTCATTTCATTTCATTTCATTTCATTTCATTTCATTTCATTTCATTTCATTTCATTTCATTTCATTTCATTTCATTTCATTTCATTTCATTTCATTTCATTTCATTTCATTTCATTTCATTTCATTTCATTTCATTTCATTTCATTTCATTTCATTTCATTTCATTTCATTTCATTTCATTTCATTTCATTTCATTTCATTTCATTTCATTTCATTTCATTTCATTTCATTTCATTTCATTTCATTTCATTTCATTTCATTTCATTTCATTTCATTTCATTTCATTTCATTTCATTTCATTTCATTTCATTTCATTTCATTTCATTTCATTTCATTTCATTTCATTTCATTTCATTTCATTTCATTTCATTTCATTTCATTTCATTTCATTTCATTTCATTTCATTTCATTTCATTTCATTTCATTTCATTTCATTTCATTTCATTTCATTTCATTTCATTTCATTTCATTTCATTTCATTTCATTTCATTTCATTTCATTTCATTTCATTTCATTTCATTTCATTTCATTTCATTTCATTTCATTTCATTTCATTTCATTTCATTTCATTTCATTTCATTTCATTTCATTTCATTTCATTTCATTTCATTTCATTTCATTTCATTTCATTTCATTTCATTTCATTTCATTTCATTTCATTTCATTTCATTTCATTTCATTTCATTTCATTTCATTTCATTTCATTTCATTTCATTTCATTTCATTTCATTTCATATAAGATAATAAACTGGATGATGTGCCAGGAAATACAAAGATACAAGTTTGATGGAGAGTTGACTGTGACTCTTTTTCATAAGGTGCGCTAAAGGAGGAATTTAGCTTATTAGTTCTGGTAAGATCCCCGTCGCTAGATTTCACTTGAATAGTATGGGTAAAACATACCAATTGTTTTTCCAAGAAATGCTAAGAAATACAAAAAAACCTCCAGACATGGAAGAAGTAAGTTTTTTAGAAAGAATTTGAAAAATCATGGAATTTCAAAGGCATTGATATTTGATGAACACACTTTTAGCCATTTCAGTCATCAGTGGGTGAAATATCGGCTCGCATTAAAGTTAGAGCCAGAAACCTTCAGGTTGATCGAGCTCTTCAAAGTCTGGTGGTCTTTTGTATTTCTTGGCATTTCTTGGAAAACAATTGGTATTTAATATACATGATACATGATGTTCAAGTGAACTCTAGCGACGGGGTACTAGCTATAAGTGCCAATAAGTTCAATTCTTCCTTTGACTCACCTCATGAAAAAGAGTCACAGTTAACTCTCAATCAAACTTGTATCATCATCTGGTTTATTATCTTATCAAGTAATTGCAACTTAAACTCTCCGTATTGGAGACCTGATGGAGACATTAATTTATTGTATACATGGTGACCGGTGTGGGGAGTTACCACCGGCCACACACTCTGTCTCTAATGATGATGTATTGTAAAGAAGTTAAGCTTCTTTATAAACTTACAACTTCTTGAGACAGTCCTGCGATAGTCCTGTAACATTGTAAAAACTGGATCTGGAGGAGTTATTTTAGGGCCAACGAAATAATTTCTACCAGTATTTTGTCGAGCTGAACATCTTACACCCTTTGTACATCCTCGATTTGCTTGAATCTCAAAAATGACGAGCTGGAGGCCAGTCTTAAAGGTTCTAATCCGACGTATCAGAGAGTCAGAGCTACTAGTAGTAGTACTTCAGCTATATTGAGTTATGTCAAATTTAAGGTTAAGACTGGATCTGGTCTCTGGAAAAGTCATTAATTATAGTTAGAGATTTATCCGCCATGTTTAATATTGGAAAAAACGAATATAGAATATAAATAGTAAACGTGCAACATTTTTGGATTTGGATATTTTTATCGAAAATAACAAATTTAGTACAGGGTTATATGATAAAAGGAATGATTTTCATTTTAAACTTTTAAGCATGCCTAATTAGAAATCGCGATCGAACGTCCCTGATAGAAGATCATACGATGTAATTTATTCACAATTATTTAGACTATGTAATGTAAATTTACATTACATAGTCTGAATAATTGTGAATATTTATACGAATTTAGAAGGATTTGTTAAAAATGTGAAATCTCTTAAAATTAAATTATTGTATCAGAATTTTAATAATGATGTCTTAAATAAATACGTTAACAAGAAATGCTGCCGCTTTTTTTGTGTGGATGGCCGCTCAATTTCCCGATCCGTGATGGCGTATTTGATCATATTCCATAAAACCTGGGGACCCCAGTTTTTACTGTTTATAAACATGCGGCAGATATGGCGGAGTGATAGGCCGGGAAGTTGGTCGTTTAGCTCCGGACAGTCTATGCAACGTCTATGCAACGTCCGTGCAACAACAAAAGAACCGTCTATGCAACGTCTATGCAACGTCCCTGCACAATGAACACTCTATGCACACTCCCTGCACGGTCAGTCTATGCAACGTCTATGCAACGTCTATGCAACGTCCCTGCACAGTACCATATGAACACCGGCTACTAGCCGGCTACTAGCCGGCTAGTAGCCACTTTTGTAATAACAGCTCCTCAACTTCACATTAACAACCGGCTACTAACCGGCACTTGAAAAGTGGTCACTAGCCGGCTACTAACCGGCTACTAGCCGGCTAGTGACCACAAAGTGGCTACTAACCGGCTACTAAGCGGTCACTAGCCGGCTATTAGCCGAGCTCTAAAGCAGACCTATTAGTAGCCGGTTCTAAACCGGCTACTAGCCGGCACTTGAAAAGCGGTCACTAGCCGGCTACTAACCGGCTACTAACCGGCTAGTGACCACCAAGTGGCTACTAACCGGCTACTAACCGGTCACTAGCCGGCTCTAAAGCAGACCTATTAGTAGCCGGTTAGTAGCCACTTGGTGGTTACTAGCCGGTTAGTAACCGGTTAGTAGCCGGCTAGTGACCACTTTTCAAGTGCCGGTTAGTAGCCGGTTGGTAATGTGAAGTTGAGGAGCTGTTATTACAAAAGTGGCTACTAGCCGGCTAGTAGCCGGCTAGTAGCCGGCTAGTAGCCGGTGTTCATATGGTACTGTGCAGGGACGTTGCATAGACGTTGCATAGACTGACCGTGCAGGGAGTGTGCATAGAGTGTTCATTGTGCAGGGACGTTGCATAGACGTTGCATAGACGGTTCTTTTGTTGTTGCATGGACGTTGCATAGACGTTACATAGACTGTCCGGAGCTAAACGACCAAGTTGCCGATAGGCCGAGCGCCACCAAGTTAATAATAATATAATTCCATATTGAATTTGAAAATCGTGTATATTTCTATGTAACCATATGCTTATTGTTTGTGCAACCTGACACCCGACACGGATCTGTGCAAAATAGTAATAGTTGTTTAATTTGTTCCTATTCTAACTATTGACCGTGAAACAATGGTTTGATCAAATAATAAATATAAACATTAATTAGACAAATAGTTCTTGCAAACACACGAACTGAGACCAGGTCACTGATGTCTGATTGATGTTGAGTAGCTGACAATGTTGAGTAGCGGGTGTAATTCTCACATAGGTACTAAATAAACATGCCTATTAGGAATACAGGTTTTGGTTAGTTAACAGTAAACAACAATAGTAACTCAAAATAATAATAGTATGCTATCAATTAGTGCCTAGTGCAGGATATTTTCATGGTGAAATTAATAATGTACTTGGTCAGTTCAGCGCCGCCCGCAAACAATTATTATATTCAGATTATTGCGCAAAATAACTTTGCGCAGGTAGTCACGTGGTCGATAACAGTGCGCGAGGGCACGTATGTACGTACGATCGCTCGCACGGTCGCAAAGCTACCATATACAAAAAAAACCTCGTTCGCTAACCCTTGTCCTTGACTCTTTTGTGCCTTCGGCACCTTTGAGTCATGGATCGGGAAAAATTTTCATAGAGGCTTAACATACGTGTACATATAAATTTTGGGAGGTTCTAACAACTAACGTTTTTATTTAATTGTCCTTTTCTGTGTACAATTTTTCAGAAATCAGAAATGCTGGCCATAAGAGAAGCTTGCTCATTTCTTCGCTCCCTGAGCTGTCCTGTCATAACGCATCGATAGCAATTCTTACCGACTCGCTATCATCGGTTCATGCCCTCTCTGCAGTCTGCTGAAGCATCGTCAAGTCAGCTTTGCATCGACACTAGAAGAGAGTTAGATATTCTTACCTCCGAATGCTCCTCTGTTTCCCTTACATGGATCGAATACGAGGACATGCGGGAATACAAGGAAATAAACTGGCTGACACTCTAGCCAAGGAAGGGACCACTTGCAGCTTCTTGAAGGCAGTCCCTCTTCCTACAACCCTTGGATGACTCGGACCGAAAATTTTCTTAGTCTAAATATTTTCAAAGTTTTTCTGGAAACTACTTTTATTCACGATTCATGCTACCCTGATCATTATTAGCCGAAAATACTTCTTCGAATTTCGAAGTCCGGACCTACCCTTCGATATACGATTTCGGACTCGAGGGATCCCCCATGTAATGTGATCTCGGAAGGCAGGCCTCACTTTTGCAGTGCGAGCTCGGGAGCGGGAGCCCTGCCTTCAGAGGTACGTATCGAGGATGATTGACAAAATATCGATTATATAATATGTGAACGACCCCTTACGCGTACGTGCGATCAGTTTATTGGGTTGAGACTAGATCCGCCCTATGGGAATCGTGCAGAAAGCCCAATTACGGTATCTTAGCACGCTATCACATGACTATTCACCCAATTCGATACCAAGATAAACAGGTTGCTTGATAACTTCGTCATTTTTAATCCCTTTGCGGACTTCTGCAGTATGTAATACTAATTCGAATAAAATCATACCCTGAAGTGCTCCCTTTCGTGACTGATTTGGTTGACAAGTACTAACTATTTAAAGACGGGGATCTGATCAGATCAGATTGAGGGATACTGACGGGACGATCTTGAGTACTAACTCGGCAGTCGCTGAAAAGTTCAATGGCTACTTTTCCAGCATCGCCTTCAACATCAAGTCTCAGATCAGTTCCCGACAGACCTTCGATCCTGGGGGGTTCCAGGAGTATCTGACCGGGTCATGTCCAACGTCTATCTACCTCGAACCTGCTGGGCCCACCGAGATTCATAGAATTATTATTGGCCTAAAAAATAAGGCAACTCTCGATTCAAAGATTGAGCCTTTGAAAATAGCCAGCACATGCCAAAATTTTTTATGCGCCTTAGCAACAGTAGTTAACACATCTTTTGTAGAGGGAGCTTTCCCTAAAGCTTTGAAAACGGCAAAAGTAACACCTATACACAAAGGAGGTTGTAAACTCGACGTAGCGAATTATAGACCTATTTCGCTTCTGGGCTCGTTCTCAAAAATTTATGAAAAACTAATGCACAGACGCGTTTTAGAATTTCTCGACAAGAATAACTTTCTAAATCACCGCTTTGATAAATGACTACAAGAAGATGGGGAGTTAATATTGTTGATTTATATAATTATAATTTAGATTATTTATTCTTTAGTGTAGATTAACTATATTTTTATATATTTTACTAAGTGTGAAGGATCAACCATACGTTATTGATATTCTTGAAATATTTAATGATAAATTGATCACAGTGCTGGCAAGCACGACCGGTGCATTTATTGTGGGTATACTATGTACCCCCTTTACTATTATACCCCCTTTACTATTATACCCCCTTTGGTACACGTTACAAGCCTCTTTCGTGCACGCGAAGCGTGCACTCCGCCTCCGGCAGGAGTTTTTCAGGCATTAAGACTCATTGGAAGTCGTTCAGCAGATTTATTTTTAGTTCAAAACATTCTAATTTGATGTCAAAGATGACAGGAATAAAAAATAGTTATGTTGAGATTTTTAAGAAATTTGCATAAAATACTCGCCAGCACTGTTATACGAAATTCGGTAAAAAACCCAAAATCGCCATATTCAGGTGCCTTAAAAACCATGTTAAAATCGAGTTAGAGATCTGAAATTTTTCAGGGCGTCTAGACGTTGACCAAATCGACTGCAAAAAAAGTTTCAGGTTTCAGGAACATCGGGAAGTGGGTTTTCTAGAACCCCTGTTTTACGACAGATTGTCGTGATATCTATCTATATATATACATATTTATATGTATCACAGTGCTGGCAAGCACGAGCGGTGTCTTTATTGGGGGTATACTATGTACCCCCTTTACTATTCTATCCCCTTTACTATTATACCCCCTTTACACCCCCTTTGGTACACGTCGGAAGCCTCTTTCGTGCACGCGAAGCGTGCACTCCGGCCGGAGGCGGCGGCCGAAGGCCGACGCCTCCGGCAGGAGTTTTTCAGGCATTAAGACTCATCGGAAGTCGTTCAGCAGATTTATTTTTAGTTCAAAATATTCTAATTTGATGTCAAAGATGTCAGAAATAAGAAATAGTTATGTTGAGATTTTTAAAAAATTTGCATAAAATACTCGCCAGCACTGTTATACGAAATTCGGTAAAAAACCCGAAATCGCCATATTCAGGTGCCTTAAAAACCATGTTAAAATTGAGTTAGAGATCTGAAACTTTGCAGGGCGTCTAGACGTTGACCTAATCGACTGTAAAAAAAGTTTCAAGTTTCAGGAGCATCGGGAAATTGGTTTTCTAGAACCCCTGTTTTACGACAGATTGTCGTGATATATACATAGATATCACAGTGCTGGCAAGCACGACCGTTGCATTTATTGTGGGTATACTATGTACCCCATTTACTATTATACCCCCTTTACTATCATACCCCCTTTACTATTAAACCCCCTTTACTATTAATACCCCCTTTGGTACACGTTACAAGCCTCTTTCGTGCACGCGAAGCGTGCACTCCGGCCGGAGGCGGCGGCCGAAGGCCGCCGCCTCCAGCAGGAGTTTTTCAGGCAATAAGACTAATCGGAAGTCGTTCAGCAGATTTATTTTTAGTTCAAAACATTCTAATTTGATGTCAAAGATGACAGGAATAAAAAATAGTTATGTTGAGATTTTTAAGAAATTTGCATAAAATACTCGCCAGCACTGTTATACGAAATTCGGTAAAAAACCCAAAATCGCCATATTCATGTGCCTTAAAAACCATGTTAAAATTGAGTTAGAGATCTGAAATTTTTCAGGGCGTCTAGACGTTGACCAAATCGACTGCATAAAAAGTTTCAGGTTTCAGGAGCATCGGGAAGTGGGTTTTCTATAACCCCTGTTTTACGATAGATTGTCGTGATACATATATACATATATATATTCAGGGATAGACGCTTTGCCAGTCAATTGTAGCCTGTATTTAATTGTCCATAGATTCAAAAGTATAAAAGATACAGCCATTTCCGACCACAGGTCTTGCAAATAATTGTTTACACTTTAGTTTACATTGTATAAACAAATTATTTGACGTCATGAACACCCCTTGATGACGTCATCAAGTTAACCGTTTTTAAAACTTGATTTTTGACAAAGTAATAACTTTTAAAAATGATTTTACACCATTAAAAAGTAATTATATTCAAAATCTGAGGAAATTTTTACCTTAGATAATTGTTCAAGCATTCTGAAAATCTACCGGAAAGTTTTTCTAGCTTGCTCCTTCATAAAGATATTCGTCATTGAAGTTTGTGCTTTTTTGAAGAATTATTTTATAAAAACGTCAATTTTGCGATTTAGTATTCTCTGGTGTTGGGCCATGCCTTGGGTTGTGGAGCTCAGTTCTGCTTCCTATAGGTATAAATTGTGCATTAGGTTAGTTTTAAAGTAAAAAATCGAAAAGTTGCACACGTGGAGACACGCCCAAATTGATAAAAAATTGCTAAAATCACTAAAAATTGCTGTTTTCGTCATTTTCTGTCAACTTTAGAGTGCCGTTGTGATAACATTTCTTCTTGAAATACTTTGAAACTTTGCATGCTTATCAAACTATATATAAAAGAATTACATGCAAAAATTTACGGCGATTCAATATTGGATGCGCACGCAACGTCCGCTCAATGTTTGCACGTGCGAAAGGTGACAATTTTGCTCATTCGTGATTTCCAACAAATTCTGCTTTGCCACGACAGTTTAATGTCATTATAAATGAATTTAATGCCAACTTGAATGAGTATTAAGTGGCATATTCAGTCAGTGATCGACCGATATGCTTACCTAAACACAAGGAAATGTTTTTAAAGGAAAAATTTCGAAATTGTTGAAACTTCCTCCTTATTAATGAAGATATCAGTTTATATTTCGACTTTATAAAGTACCCTGACTTTATAATCAAAAAGAGATGATATTTGACCAAAACCCATAATCATGGGTAGAGTGGACCGCTGCCAGTGTCTCTCTTTCCCAAACAAAAGGAAATGATATTAATTTGATTGACCGTTCTCAAATGCAAAATGATACCGAGAATGAAATCGGTCGCTCGCTTTTCCCATTCATTTACAATTGTAATAGATTAAGAAGAACTACCCAAAGGCAGCTGTACTCGGCAAAAAAGATTCAATAAACTTCAGCTAATTCAATAAGTAATAACTACCACCCTTACCCCGAAATACTAGGTATCGACCCGAACGCAACCCAAAGAGATTTTTACAGCATCTGATTGATGTAATCATTCGAAACTTATTACAATTCGTAAGCCGTGAATGAATGGGAAAAGCGAGCGACCGATTTCATTCTCGGTATCATTTTGCATTTGAGAACGGTCAATCAAATTAATATCATTTCCTTTTGTTTGGGAAAGAGAGACACTGGCAGCGGTCCACTCTACCCATGATTATGGGTTTTGGTCAAATATATATGCGTAAAAGCTTTTATAGTTTCAAAAACTGCATCAAATCTGCACTTCCCCCATCAGATCATGAAAATTTAGAGAATCATTTATCTAATTTAATGCACAAGGAGAAACTTGAACTAACCAAGCGTCATGAATCTAAGTTGAAGAGAGATAAGGACTATGCTATTTATGTTGCACCTTCATATGTGGATAATGCTAAACCTGTGAAGAAGAGGAGAAGAAGGAAGAGAAAAAAGATTAATCGTACCACATCCCACAGACATCAGAGGACGTTAATCAAAGGTACTCTTCCCAAGGTTGAAGACTTGTCAATGGAAAACATGTCCAGAACAGTTGTAAATCTTACAGACAAAGAGCTTAGTAAAGAGCAACTCTATGTCTTTTTCTTGTCTCACAAGTTTGCACCTACACCTCCCCTACCAGATCTAAGCCGCTTCGAGAACGATCTGTGTAGATGGTTTTCTAAAATGAGAGCTAAAGTTGTATTTGATAGCTTTAAATGTGGACCCAACAAAGCAGATAAGAGAGTTACTGACATGGAACGTTGTCTTATAAAGACTGATGCATCACGTACTTTCGAATCTTGTAAAAACCCTGCACTTGAGGCATTTATAAAATGCTGCAGAGCAGAAGTAGACCTCCACAGGCCAACTCAGAAATTCGTCTCACCAGATAACATCGCTGCGCCCATCAGAGCAGCTCTCAAAGAAGTCAAAGGTTGGAAAGACATTGTAATCAGACCATTCGATAAAGGAGTAGGATTCTTCCTTCTTAGTGAAGAAGATTATATTCAACGAATAGGTGTACATTTAAATGATAGATCTGTATATAGTATTGTAAATAATGTAGATGATTTAGTTGTAGAATTGATTGATAAAATTTCGAATTGGACAATTGAGTTTAAAGATGAATTAGGTATGTCCAAGAAGGTCAAGGAGTGGGTTATTCCATGTACTGAGCTTAACCAGCCTGGAAACATGTACCTGAATCCCAAGGCACACAAACCACCTTTGTATCCTGGGAGGATGATTACCACCGGCTGTGGTTCATACATTGAAAACCTTTCTGCCTTGACTGCGTATGAATTGAAGAAGGCTACTTTGAATTATAGAATTATTGATACCCCTCACTTTCTGAGGAAGATTGATAGCCTGAACGAGTCTAGCATATTGTTGGGAAAGGAGGTTATACATGTTGCCATCGATATATCTAACATGTTTACCAACATTCCTAGGGATATGGGGATCCAACAATGCACTAAGCACCTGAATAAAAGGAGTAGTGGTGATCAATTGTTTAGTACAGAATGCATTATTAGTGCACTAGAAATTACTCTTGATTACAACATTGCTTCATTTAACGGTATAACATACCGCCAGGAGCGTGGAGCAGCGATGGGTCCTAAGAACTCATGTGAGTATGCTGATTGTGCTATGGATAAGATTGATATTTTAGTTAACGAAGGAGATCTAGAATATGACCCGCCTCATAGACCAGCATTCTGGGGTAGATTACGTGATGACATTTATATGGCTTGGCCCGGTACTGTTGAGGAATTATTACAATTCATGGAATGGCTCAATAGTATCCACCCAAACCTTTTGTTTACGTACGACTACTCTAGGGACGGCGTTGAGTTTCTAGACACCTATGTCTATGCTGTTGGTGATGTTGTCCACACCAAACTCTACTCTAAACCTAGTGACACCCACTGCTACCTTATCCCCACGTCATGCCATAGGAACCATGTTGTAAAAAACATACCTTTTGGAGTGGCGAGGCGGGTGAGACAGAACAACAGTGAAGACACTAACTTCTTGGAGCAGAGAGAGGTCTATACACGTTACCTTCTAGCCCGAGGTTATCATTCCAGTATTATAGAAGATGCCTTTAACAAATTTAGTGATATAGCTAATAGGAAAAACTTGTATACCCTTAAAGACAAGGATGAGTCGACTGCCTGTTTAATACCCATGGTGATGGATCAAAATCCAGCACTTCCCAACATGGGGGGCATTATCCATAAGTATAAGCACCTTCTCAACCTTGATCCGGCCCTGAAGAAGCTGGTACGTGCGGACAGTGTATTCGTGAGTCATCGAAAGAATCAAACTATCGGTGGCATGCTTGTACACAATAAGTACCGTGCCAGTGGAACTTTAAACTGTGATAATGAGAGAGAAACAACTGCAAGCCAGATCCAGGAACCAGACTCCGAAAGTCTAAGGGCGGTTCCCGGGGCTGTCGACCCAGGGTGCCATGCTTGTGGTAAATGTTATGTTTGTAAGCAAAATTTCCTGTCCCCCTGTTCCAATTTTAGTAGTCACCATTCTAAACAAGTTTTCCCTATAACTAAGTATATATCTTGTCAGAGTTATAACCTCATTTATTTAATGGAGTGTAAGACTTGTAAACAGTCGTATGTCGGTTATACTACCTCAAATCTCCCTAAGAGATTCTCTAACCATAAGAGTCACATAAAGAAAGGTATAAGAAGTTGTAAATTAGTTAACCATTTTTTAGATATTGATCATGATTTAGATTTTAGTACCATAGCCTGCTATAATTCCTCACTTAGTAAGCACCTCTCTGTCATTATAGTAGACGCTTTAGTATTTGAGCCTAATATTAGTAAAGCAGACAAAGAAAAGGCTATGGAAGCTAGAGAGGGGTTCTACCAGACCCAATTGAAAACCCTTGAACGGTTTGGGGGTATGAACACCCTTGATAGTAACCATCTACTTTTTAAATCTGCCGGAGCTTAGTTTTAGTTTTAGTATATTTTGTAGATTTTATTTAGTTATACCATTATTCCAGAGACGTGCATATTACATTTTTTACTTAAGTATAAATTTTACAGGTTTTCGTTGTGATTTTAAGTGATTTTCCGAGAATCAGTTATCAGTATTTAGATAAGAGATAAGATAAGAGTACATTTTTAACGGCTTTCAGTTTCTTTTTTAAATTTCAGTTCATCAGATTTTCCCACTGCTTTTAGTTTGTATTTATTCTCAATTGTATATGATTCGTATTTGTTGTAGTTACTTTAATGATATAATTTCTCAGAATTGATGTAAATAAACGATGCAAAGACTTTCGAAGATCTAATCACAACCGCTTTCTTTTATTGTGTAGAAGTCCAGCCATGAAATACATATATATATTCAGGGATAGACGCTTTGCCAGTGAATTATAGCCTGTATTTAAGTGTCCGTAGATTCTAAAGTATAAAAGATACAGCCATTTCGGACCACAGGTCTTGAAGATAATTGTTTAGACTTTAGTTTACATTATGTTAAAAAGTAATTCAACGTCATCATCACCACTTGATGACGTCATCAAGTTAACCATTTTTAAAACTTGATTTTTCACAAAGTAATCATTTTTCAAATCGATTTTACGCCATTAAGGAGTAATTTTATTCAAAATTTGAGGGTGTATTGAAGTTAGATAATTGTTTAAGCATTCTGAAAATCTACCGGAAAGTTTTTCTAGCTTACTCCTTCATAAAGATATTCGCTATTGAAGTTAGTGCTTTTTTAAAGAATAATTTTATAAAAACGCTAATTTTACGTTCTAGTATTCTCTGGTGTTGCACCATCCCTTGGGTTGTGGA